TGATGCAGAACGGTCATATCAGGACACGTTCCGGGCCCGACACTACGGGAATTTCACAAACTGTAGTCTGACGCTGCCATGCAATGCAACCACATTGCGTGGTAACTGGCATATATCACGCCACGTTCAAGACGTTCGAAGGCCATGGAGAAACCTGGATTTCGTTCCTGATATTGATTACTTGCTTTATGTAGGTAACTAGGCTAAAGGATCGTGAGCCCTACCTCGCTCTGCTTTGCCTTACCTGGTGTAGGTAGCCTTGGATTCGGTCGAAGCCTTTGCGCCCCCAATTCCCAGTTCAGCTGGATACATGTGTATACTGATGCCAGTACCCGTTCTATAGCACTTGTGTCACGGAGATAGGACTAAGTGCTTATGGACGTTGGAAGCACAAAGGCATGACGTATGTAGGTCTGATGCCGAAGACGTTGCTACATACTCCTGTCTATGTAGTATCTTGCAAGGGCATACAGAATAGGATCGCATGTAGACCTTGCTAAACGACATTGTTCCGTTCTTACCCGTCTAGCCGTCTTAAGCCACTTGAACGAAAACGTATCTGGTGCTTGAGCCGTCATGCGCAACTTCAACTTGACCGGCCCATGCCAGTGGGTAAAAATCCTTCATCTTCGTACCCGTTACGATGGAACTTAGATATTTGCCTCCCAGTAACCCCCCATTAACTCAAATAATAAAACGTCAATGCACTTACACCACATCCTAGCCGACGAGTTTGGCGCTAAGCGATCGAGTGTGACTTATCAAGCGCTCGCATTGATAATGCCAGAAGATGAACAGGCGGGAGCGAAATGAAGGCAAATGCTGCCGTTACATTTTCTCCTCAGCTGGCCCGTTAAGCAGTTTATATTGGGTTACCTTCTAGAACAATTCTTCCGCGTCAGATGCGGCAGCTGAGCGTTTGCGTTTGCGCGAAGGATCGCGTCGCAATGCGAGACCGAAAATCGCAGGTCAAGGGGGGGTATCAAGCAAATCCTTCATCCAAAAGCAGAACATAATGTAGGTACTATGCATGTAGTACCTAACGGTTACCAGCCTTGCCAACAAGATTGGTTGGTCGACGTACGCCTTCCTCTAGCTACAGATGGATGGCCGGCCCTGTTGACCCTAGGATAATAATAAGTTCACCGTCCTCCTTCCTCTCTGATGGTGTATCCCCCCTGCTTTTTCAGCTCGTGGATGCAGGGGGGCTTCATGGTTGCGGTAGCTGTGGATGTGGATGTTTATGTAGGTACAATACATACATACACTACATACGGAAATCTCCCAGAACAACTACATACACTACACAGACAAGACAGGACTACCCCGGCCCGGGGTTGTAGAAAAGATGCAACTCGTTGCGAGATATCCCCAGTCGCTACGGCCCCGGTTTATTCTCTTGGCAATCTTAAATCCATGGTGATGATAATCAGAACCATAGGATCCCGTTTACTCGTGATACGAGCGAGTGGGCTTCGAGGGGGCAAACTAGAGACTAAGAGGGGTAAAGAAGGTCAGGAGAGAAGGGGGGGAAAACAATATCAAATACTTGAGTAAAAAAAGAAAAAGAAACAAGGGGATGGTGAGAGAATCATGAGTTCGGCTCGAGGTCTAACGTCTCTAGCGTCTCTAGCACCCTGGTCTACATATTTGGAATCCGAGGATCCATGACGAACGAATCACAGGTTCGCTTCTCCGAGACTTCGTCACGTCTCCCAGATGAGATGCCGTCGCTTAAACGCTTCGGAATTTACGCAGACAACACAAATGCCCGGCGGCCGACGTCCGTCAGCGGCAAAGCGATTTACAGCCTCCCCTCCCCCGTACGTACGCTAAAGGTTATTATTTACATATGGATCGAGCGGCCTTCCGTCGCCATCCTTGTTGACGATCTGGGTTGTCAGCACTTAGTTCTACATATCGTGCCTTGTACATGCGGATTGCTCTGTGCTCTCTGCTCTCTGTAGGGATTCGATTCTTCATCGGCTAGGGTTTAAGGAAGAGGCGCGTAACCGCGCAAGAGGAGGGGGGAAGACGAAGATGATCGTATGGAAAACCAATTTAATCGCGCCAAAGCTCGGCTGCGAAAGAAGCTGTACATAGGCTTTATCCACTCTCTCCCTACGTACATTATTTCACCGCCCCGGATGGAAATGATGTTGTATGTATGTAGGTATGCACCACTCTCGGATCGCAGGCCTTGGCTCCAATATCTGAGGGAGGACAATGCGCACCCAGAGATTGTACGTATAAGTGCGAACCAAGAAAGACGTTCTTCGGCAATTGTATCAGTCAACGCAGATCCCAGGCTATGGATATCCACAGTGGCGTTCCTACGTAGGTACATTACGCGCCCCTCCTGTCAACAGTGGTTTCCGAAGGTTAGGGACGGGCCATCTTCTCTCGAGGCCCCCCTCCCTGGGCGAGCGAGGATGGGCGAATCATGCTATGCCTGTAGGAGATACGTATGCCGGTATGCTTAGGGCTAGGGCAAAAAAGCGGAAAGGAAGATGATGGGGGGAGGGGGAGGGGGAGGGAGAGGGAAGGTAAGTTCTAGCCCCATGGGATGATTATGGCCCCCTCGCGACGGAGTTACGACAACCATTCATTCTGGTGGGAGCCCGAAGGGGTGAGCCGGATTCCATCTGCTCGTGGATCGAACTTGGATGGTGTGTATGATAGTATGGTATGGTATGTATCGACAAAACCGCGTACCTAGGTAGGTATGCAGCAGGTACCTACCTATGTATGCACTATCGCATTAAAATGCTAATTAGCCAGTCTCCGTGGGTTAATCTCGAGATCTTCAAGTTAATTGAGGTCGACGAGCATTGAGATAGTGTATGGTATGTACGTATGTACGTAGAAGTCTGAAGGATTCGACTCCTTAAGGCTGAGAGTGGCGAAGCCCCCCTCTCCCGAAGGCGGCGTTGGTGTCTCCTGACACAGCAGTCGAGACACTGTAGATGTAGATCTTCTATCCAAGTTATGCGGTTAGCTACGCGAATAGGAATACATACCTACCTACCTTATGTAGCTGTGTAGGTATGCGTACGATGTTATTGGAACAGTAACGCGGCAGCGCGGGAAGCAAAAGCCTTTCTACGTAATACACCAGCTCGATGCATGAATACTCACCCCGTTGGCATATGTTACATATTTGCCGTCTCATCCTCCGGGATACTCTCTCGAGTCTGCCTTTGTGCGACGAATCCAGACATCCGGTAATTATTCGCCAACATGTGTTGGTTCGTAACCGGACTGGCATTATTATCGTGGCCTTGTGGCACGGTCAGCCCTATTTCATCTATGTAATCACTGATCGTTAGATGGCGAGGGGGCCAGAATATCCGTTGGTGTCAATGGATGTGCCCTGAATACTAACGCATGTAGTGGCACCTATACACAGATGTGGTACAGGCTCGATTAGTATATGTAGGACTTAGATAGGGCCGAAAATTGATTGCATTCGATCGTATTAGTCGATGAACAACGTATGTTCGGAAGGTCGAGGAGAGCAAGTGCTCCAACAGATATCTACATAATCTCGATCCAAGGCAACGCGCAAGGTAACAATTTGCGTTCTCCGGTGTCACTATCTGAGATCAAGCAAGATAGTGTGCCGTCTCAGGAAACGTCTAAGCCTTCATCGATAGATAGCCTTTCATCCCGATAGACCCGGCCCAACAATACGGTCGATTGCCATATTCCTTCATACCAATATCTCTAGAGATACCAAGGGATTCTGTCGGCTGACTTGCTGAACGTGTCTCAAAGTCAGTCACCAAGGTTTACGAGTAGCCACTTCACTTCCCGATAGAGAAGCATGATTGTCGAGCTTAGAACGAATCCCAACAGAATTTCTAGTACATGCCGTACCTCGATATGGATTCTAGTAGCCTAAATCTTCCCTCGATCCATCATGAGGAACCTTAAAACAGGGACGGGCTTGAACTAGCAAAGTAGATCTCTAAAACTAAACTGCAATACCTCTAAGACAATGAATGGAGCTAGATACACAGCATAGAAACAAAGTAGAACTCTAATGTCGTACGCGATACGATAGATGAACCCCTGAGCACAAGGAGGCTATGCCAACACCGCCAGTGGCAATAGGGGGTCTAGGGGTCTATATACATACAGAGCAGATCAACAAAAGGGGCAATAGCACAAGCATATCACTACCATTGTACGACCGGTATATAGATGCCTAGGTAGTTAGTGCGTTGTGATATCTCACAACCAACAGTCTAATCCATACACTCTCTAATACATACTTCACCTCCCACGTCCCCTAATACACTACCTCCGACCTTCCCGCAAGAAGGAGCAAGTAGCTTAGTAACGATCTACACGAGTCAAAAGCAATTGGCCGGTCGAATATTGCGTAAGCCGTCTAGATAGAACGAGTGGTCCCGCTCAGGAGTGTAAAGACGCGTTTATCTCGTTGCTGAAGTAATCTATCACGTATGGCGTCAGTGCGGAATAGCCTACTCTCTAGTAACGCCGACCATCGAGAACTTCGACATCTATTTGTAAGCTGAGCTTCTTACCTGATAGACTTCATAACAGCTTGGTTAGCAATAGCCATTAATACTAAGATTCGAGAGGCCGGTTCGTATCAACCCTCTCCTCTCGTATAGAATAAGGGTAGGTAGAAATACGTTGTAGATATATACTATCACTATAGCACGCAAGTTGCTTTCTCTCGAGACAACCCCTGATTGCTTCGAGACCATTACACGACACCTTCAGTTCTCAGGGGGCTGGGAATATAGATAATTATCAGCGATGGTGAGCAGCGCACATCTTCAAACAATATAATAAGGTAGGATGTAAGATACATTGCTTGCTATACTATAAAGCATTGATTGCTACACTATGTATTACAACTATGACTTTCGTGCAAATTGGTAGGGTATCCGACGTCTGTCTGTCTGTCTCTATGTCATCATCCAGAGTCTAATCCCATAAACACACCGCAACACCAAGCCATAAATACAAATGTAAATCGTAAATAAGACAAATATTTTATTCAGACTGCCGAAGGTATAACCCGTTTCGTAGCCTTAACCGCCCTCATCGCGGGTAGCGTATTCGCCTTTCCAGGGTTCCGCCCGATCTCCATGCATAGCATGCGGATAAGATCGTGGTTTACCCAGTAACTGGTGTGCGCGCTTAGCATGTTCAGATACTGTAGCTCGAGCGGGCCGCCACCTGACCGCAGGAAATAGTCGATCTGACCGTTGTCGTTAAGGAGGAAAGCCTTCTTCTCGGCAATCTCCTCACGTGAGAAATCGTGGACTTCGAGTTCGAGTTGCGAGGGGAGACGCATCGTCGGCGGCCTTGGAACCGGCGCATTTACGCCATTAGCTGCCGTGGAAGACCCAACTCCAGGGACGATACTCATCATCGCATGCCCTACAGAGTGTAGGAAAGACGTCGATGTACTCGGCACATATGCTGTTTTCAAGCTGGCCGCGTACATCGGATCTAAGGTGCCGTTGAGTAGATACGCAACAGCATCTTCCCTGGCCATGATGTTATAGATGTTATCCACGGCGATACATCCGAACAGTCCGGCATCCCCAACGACGTCTTTCGACAAAATATCGTTGGGGTCTGCCCCTGGTTTCCGGCGCCCTTTCCTTGGTAGTAACGCACCCCTTTCTAACAATAGGAAGAAAGCAACAGGACTGCCGAGAAGAAACAAATTCTTGGTGTCAAATTCGAAATGATTTAACTGGAGTGGCGCCGTGAGCTCTAGGACTGGTGGAGTAGTCGGCTGTCTCGACAACACTTCAATGCACATGACGCTGCCGAGCGAATGGCCGATCAGATGAACCCGTCCTTTCTCCGCAAAGCCGGGGTTATTTCGGCACCAGAGTCTGTAAACGCGATTCGCTTCGCTAACCACAGCTGCTACCATCTTGGGTTTATGATGTGACATATAAAAGGGAATATCGAACATGACATCTGATATCATGCTCCGGACGGCAGGAATCGTCTTGGGCTCGATATCCTTTAAAGTGAAGTTGCCAGGTGTATAGTGCTCTTTATCTTCCTCCTTCATTGGCCCGCCATCCTCGAACGATAGGTTTTGCCTCCAATTCACTGGAAGAACCATGATAGAGTTTTGTCCTCGTCTCAATGCTCCCTTTACCGCGTCACTATGAAGTTCGGTATTAACAGCTCGACGAAAGGCAGTTATGGCGTGGGTAAAGTGATAGTTCTCTACTCGCTCTGCCAACTTCTGGCCAATGCCGTGAACGACTAGAACCAGATCTGTGACCTGCGCCCGCTCTTCATCAGCCTTGCAGGCTGGGCAGGCGTCATTCCTATCATTTTCTTGCGAACTATTGAAACCTGATAGGGCTTGTTGATATTGTTGCTCCTGCTTCTTGTGCTTTCTCATCCATGCCTCATAGTTAAAGCCTCTTACTACCGGGATGCCAACGGTAATGCCTCTCATTATCTTTGCTACTGGGCGGCGACCGTAATATGCCGATGGCTTCAGGCTTGGCTTTAGTAAATACGCCGTAGTGTGATCTTTGTATATTACATGATATTGCTCGAACTTCTTGTGGGTTGGAACAGGAGAGGAGTTGTCTTCGTTTGGAGAGGGTATCAGACTACCCTCAGCTGCTGCTTCTCCATGGAAACAACGAGCTGCACAAAATGGATTGCTAGATATGGGTGGCTCCATCAAATCGTCGACCTTTTTAGAAGACTTGCCCAGTGCCTTTGGCCATAAGGGATGCGAGACTTTTTCCTCGCCTAGAGGGCCAACTTCTACGGCACATCTGAGCTCATCGTTCCACGTCTCAGTGTGGGGCTTGAGCTCTCGATATCCAGCTTCTAGCTGATTAGCTACAGTGGGATCAATTGGCCTCATATCATCTCTATTTTAAATTAGTAAATGTTCTTTACCAGGGGGAACATTGATTTAATACCTGTAGAACCAAGTAGCTCGGAGAACGGCAGCAATATCATTAACAGGAGACCAGTATATAGGCTTCATCTGTAACGCAGGGAGAGATACTTCATGTAACCTGGAGACACCAACCGTCACTTCGCGCGAAACCACCTTTGAAGCTTCCACAGGCTTAGGGGAGGGGGAGGGGTTCTCTACCGGCGTAGGACGAGGCGACCTGGCTTCTTCAATCCTCATCTCCTCAACAAGCTTGCTGGGGTGAAAAGTACTCGCCCTCGGAAATGACGCCGGTGGAGAATTAATCGGAGTTTCCGGCGTGCCTACGCGGACAAATGGTCTACCTGAGATACCATCATCCACTAACGAAGACTTCGTAGGGACTGGCACATTGGCGCTTCTGTCGATTGAGGGATACTGAGCTGTCGTTGGGGACTGTGACGTTATGCTTGAAGGCTGGCTATTGGGCCGTTCATTAAGCTGATTTGATCGCATCACAGAGTCGATTGGCGACTGGCTTGAAGGCATGTTGTCAGGCGGCGCACGGCGTTCTGTGACGGAAGCCGTTGAATCGGTATGCAACGTATTCATCTCACTCATAACAGCTTGAGCAACCATATCTCGGTTAAGCTCCTGTTGCCTTCGCCTAGCGACAGCACAGAAGGATATCCGTAGAGCAACACCGACATCAACAAGAAGCTCTTTGCAGCATAAGAGCGCGGCAGTCTCTAGCTCCGGCAGAGCTTCAATTAAAGGCTGGACCTTTTCCCGCGAGGGGCCTTCGCGTGCATGCTTTTCAGCATGTTCCACAGCTAGTTGGCGTACGATACTACGTAGCTTCTCGCTATTTGCTTTAGCAAGTGGAGGGCTAGGAGGTCGGTTCTGCCGGGCATTGGAGTGGTTCTGGCGATAGGCGTCCGAAGCGAGACTCAACCAGGCTTTCTCTATCGCGTTGTTGTCCCCTGGTGAGAATGGACGGAGGCTACTCCTGATAGATTTGGGATCGGCAGCAACAGCAATAGGAGTGGTGGAAAGAGGCTCATCGATGGGAACGGAAGACGCGTAAAAGTAATGGGCGTTTACCGGCGGAATTTCGTCGATGTCGGAGGAACAAGGGGGATGGGATATCGGGGCGAACCGGCATTTCGATCCAAGGTTATGTACTTTCGGAACCTCCCCGAAGTAGTTGTTGATGGTAGTTGAAGGCATTATCGATTCGTATTAAATTTTATCTATCCGGTCTACTTCTCAAGACTTCAAGTCTCAAGCTTCTATCTCCCTCACACCTGCAAATTGAGAAAAACTATCGCGTACAAAGGACTAGCGGGAAACAATTGTATTAACCAAGGTTGTATTAACCAAGGCATGCTTTGAATAATGTAGGTGCCTATGGTTCTATTTTCGGCTGACCGCTTAGTTGGTTGGTTGCTCAGCTGGGAGAGACGGCTACTCGCAGGTAGAAAGAATAAACATCATGGTAAACGAGTGCTGGAAGCCGGAATCAAATAAGACCTTAAGGACTCTCGGAAACAGCTGGAGCTGACTGGAGCTGACGACAGACAAGAATCTGCATAGAACATTGGAATCGAAGGTCGAAGTGAGGTGAAAAGCCCTAAGGTCTAAGGTACCTCGAAGACTCTACTGGCTGAATAGGGTACCAAATGGCCACATGCACATGCATGAGCTTTGTATGCGGCGGTGACGTGGTTGACGTGGATGCTGAAGATAGATTAATGAAATGGAATGGAACGGAATGAAATGATGCAAGGACAGCTGGGACTTGGCTGGGACAGGTACATGTACCTTCTGTACCTTCTGTAGGTACCCTCTGTAAACTGTAGGTACCTGCTGTAGACATCCAGCTAGGTACTTCCTCAGTTAGGTGCTTCACCCCGCTGTGGCTGTCACCCCCCGCAAACCCGAGCCACGCTTCGAATCTCTAGCTCTGCTTAGGTTTCCAAGATCTCATTAGATCTTATTTATTATTCATCGTGGGTTTCGAAGTATGTAATCAAGGCCAGACTGGAAATAACAGTTTAGATAATAATCTTAAAACATCTTTCACTCTTTTCCCTATCTTTTAGATTTGACGTACTATATAATTGAGTGCCTCACCTCCTCTATCTCTAGCCTGCTTCGAATACGTATACGATCCGAACAGCGGCAGGCGGCATTGACAGGCTATCTCGTTGCCTCATAAGAGGTATATAAATAAGCTCCGTGGACGGGCCAAATCCGGACGGACCTCTGCATCGCAGCCGCAAGTTGTCCTTGGCATACATAAATGTATGCATGTCTGTCAAAACTCAGATGTTCTCGCATTTGGTATACGTACGCGCAAGATCTGTCACATATACTGAGTTGCTTTGAAGCTGATAATGGATGATCTGCAAATATAAAGCTAGTCTGACAGAAAGTCAAGATAGAGTTGAGCTTAGGTAGGGAGTGGAGTTTGAAATGCAATTATACTCTTTCGTACGCGCAATGCTAATCAAGTTAATTTGATACACCATTGTCATTAGGCGCCGTTTCACAAGCTAATTCCCGATAAATACCTATGCATACTACATACTACAGTAGCTCGAGTAGTCAGCGCCATCGACATGTTCCAAGATATGTTTGCTCCCTTAGTAAGAGCATCTAGAGATTATGTAGACGCGAGTAGAAGCAAGGGACATGGGCCGAATTGGAGGTTCACCGGATATAATTACCTAGGCACTAATGTACTATATGCATTAATAGTATGCATTAGTGTTGAATTTTGATATACATATTCTTTGGAGTTCTTGACAACGGAGAAGGCGAAGGGTGGTGGCGAGTGTGGTAACGGCCCTGATGTGTATTGCAGAACCAGTACAACCAAGTCATCGATCTTAGTGGTTGCCGTGTTCGAGTCCCTGACGATTGGGTCGAGGTCGATGGAACCCTAGCCGCGAATATGGCAACTCACATTTGCTGATAGGGAATAGTGTACCGCATTGGGGCGGGGTCTCGTTCTCTTCATTCTCCTTCATTGGCCAACGAAAGCCTTCTGTATGTGATGTTGCAGTTTCGACGACGTTGGGATTGCCCCTCGTTTCACTGAACAGACATGCAATTTCGCAGCTCACATACATATGTTTTGGTACTACGCTGCCGTTATATGTACGTCGTCGTGGTCCTATTACTTTTCTCGAAACTCATCATGTCCGTCGAGGCGGCAAGACAACCTATTAAGAAGCGCATACTGTCGTTTCTAGGGGCTTGGAGAGTAACAAGCATCAGCCACATACATTAGGTAGGCTCTAGATACGGGCCGGCCTATGAAATGCTGATACCTGTCTATATACTAGGTATGGTTATCTACCTACATATAGGGAAAGGAAATCCGAAGGGGGCTAATATCGGATTTCTTCTAGAGACAATCTAAAAAGAGATATATCTCTTCTTTGTCGAGTTCACGTAGTGTATGTATCACATTTTCAAACCTTTGTCCACTTTTCTGAGGCCTTCTGGGTCAGGATGTCTGAACGTGATCTGTGAGAACAGGGGTGTATACATATGCAGTTCGCCCCGGCATTGATCAACATTGGGTTCCTCTTTGGAGGGGAAGACCTCGCCTCAAAGGACAGCACTAGACAAGGTAGACGGGGTAGACAGGGTAGTGTAGGCCAAGGCTAATAATATGTATGTTAGGTACTAGGTAATGCCGTCCTGTCTTGGCAACCGTGAGCAAACGAAACGATGTAATTTGTTAATATTCTGTCCTGCTGCACCGGTAGAACTAGAAGAGGTACAATGGATAGAAAACGAATGAATAAATAAGCTAAATGTATATACACAAATTGGAGAGGGGAATCATTGAACGAGTGGGAGGTAGATCTGTTTTATAAAGAAGATTTAAAAGTGGTAGATAGAGAGGTAATAAGGTAAAGGTAGGGGGATAAACTACACCCATGATCCCATCTGATCCAATCTCGCACCATTCACCTATCCATCAATCAAGTCGTCTTATCTACCGCTGGTGCTGCTTCACTCGCTACAAGACTGCACGGCACTGTTATGCACCATCAGGGATGTGCGATAAGGCTGTAACTCCAATCAACGTCTTCAAACGCGTGAAACGACTTTGATTATACCCTACGACCAACCTTTAACCATACCTTGGTCATTATATCTAGTTACATCTACATCTTTTCTCCTCGCGTCGTCAATTTCTACACTTTTAATCCATTCCAATACCCTTTTGGCTCATTCTCCCTTTTTCTACCTAGATCCTCACTTCTATTAAGTGGCTTCTAGGTACCGGTATGTAAGTATTATTATGTCCCCTCATCCTCCCCCCCCCTCGTCTCATTCTTCCTGTTCCCGTTGCTATGCTATTTCCCATCTCCCCTCTCTTTCTTCCCCCTCTTATTATTGTTAAACAATAGTGATACCTGGGAACACACGACAATATCAGCCCATTCAACACCAATGAAAGGAATTATACACACATACCCAACTTTTAAAACACATATTTTATTATTTTATACACTGCAATAAAGTACGACTTATACGCAAGCTGCTAACGTACTTCAGTCAACATACAGTTTGCAGTTTAACTTTGGACTTACAGAGACCCGTCCGTATTAGCTGCTCATCGTAACATCGTACCCATCGCCAATTAATATCCGACTCCCATCATCAACTTTAAATCCCCCCCGCCATCTACCTCATCCTCCCCCTCCAAGTCCATCTCACCCCCCGTCTCCTCCCCCGCAATTACTTGCACCTTGGTACACCACTGGACCCCCGGTGCTCGAGCGTTAGGGGTAGTGTATCTGGTTCTGATATGAGGCAAGCGGCCACCACCGAGACTTATCATCTTACATCGTAAACAACATAGAAAAAAAAAACAAAAATCAGGCATTACTATGAGTCGGACAATGACGACTGTCGCTCTCCCCAGACCAATTCCTCCACATCGCTCTTCATCTGGCATCGTTACCTTATCTGCCCCAATAGCGCTCGAAGCTATCAATGCCCAACAGGTTTCTAGCGCAGCGCCCGCGCCCATCCCTAACAAACACATACCAGTTTGTCCTACCGGCCCAGCACCCGCCCGTGAGCCTAACACGCCACCGCCGTCACCAGGCCGCGAGACTGAACGACATAATGAACGGCGCCGCTCATCTTTACTGTATCCACCTGACAAGTTCGAACGACTGGAATCGGGTTCGCTATGCCTCTACAAGATCCGCCCTGCTGACGTAGCAGCCGCCGTAGACTATCTCTCCAGACAACCTCTACCAGATCCCGCTCTAGTCTTCCCTTGGTTTCATGGATTGCATCCGAGCAATCATATCCAACAGACGTTTTTTGCATCGAGGAGCAAGACTGTGCGGCAGATACCTAATTGTTTACGTGGGATCACATTGGTGAAAGCTGATGGTGATCTCTCCACTGCACGCCTAAAAGGGGCACTTGCACCTAACGAATTTATGCAATCGGGCTCCGATGGAGAGTTCGTCGAAGTTGACCCCAGAGAGGGGTTCTCCGTTCGCAACTTTCAGATCCAGGCTGCTAAGACGGCCGTAACGTCTGATATCATAGTATATGGTGAGGATGCTGGTCTAGTCCGTAAGTGGGCGTGGGAAATCGCGTCGGCGCAAGCTAAATGGCGGAAGAAACACGAGTCCATCCCGAAATATAACACATTTATTTGTGTTAGTCCGTTCAGAGAATTTGAAAACAAGCATAGCGAGATCGTTACCGTTAATTCGGAGGGTCTCTTAACAGGTGCTGTGGTTGACTTCTTCCACCAAGAGCGGCTGGAGATGTACTCGATGACGAAAGCAACCGAGATATCGCGTAATGTGTGGATGGGCCCAACACCCGAGCCCTCAAGTGAAGAGGAACAGTCTTATGATATCCTCATCGAATGCAGTGATCTCGGTCGACTAAACCCTGGTGCGCTGCAAGCAATCGCCGAGGGCACCAACGAGGAGGTAAAACAGCCTTTCCTCGACTTCCCTTCATCCGGAAGTATTCTCCCGCCGACATGGTCCCACGCTGAAGCCGATGGTATCTTGGATACGTGCAAATGGCTCTGGCACCTCTCCCACGGAACTTTACCTTTGAAGTCGGATCCTGATGTAGACGGTGATTCGAACATGTCTGACGCATCCTCTGTGACCGAGGTCGAGATGCGTCCCTCGCGGAGAATCCTAATACATTGTGCTGATGGGTATACCGAGTCTACCATGCTCGGGATCGCATACTTCAGCTACAGCACCGGCCGACCGGTCCACGAAGCCTGGATGGACCTGCACACAAAGATGAAGCGAAACTTCTTCGCCTATCCGACCGACGTGTCCCTCCTAACCACGATCGCGCACCGTCTTCTCCACGAATCCCCCATCTGCAGTGAAAAGAGCCTGCTGGAAATTACGAACCTCGTGCGCAACGAGCCTAAGTGGCTCGCCTCCCTCGACGGCTCGTTCCCCAGCCGCATCCTCGACTACATGTACCTGGGCAACCTCGGACACGCCAACAACCCGGACCTACTGAAAGCCATGGGCATCAACCAGATCCTCAGCGTAGGCGAGACGGCCATGTGGCGGGACGGCGAGCTCGAGTCCTGGGGCGCGGATAACGTGCTCGCAGTCGAGAAGGTTCAGGACAACGGCATCGACCCTCTAACCAAGGAATTCGAGAAGTGCTTGGAATTCATCGGTACGTTGCTTATCCACTTTCCCTTGGCCCTAGCGTATTATATAGCTCGTCCTTATTACCTATTATTCTTAATTTTCACGTTATTATCTAAGACTCCCCCGTCTAAGACCCGCTCGCTAACCGCAAAACAGAACGCGGCCGACGGAACGGTACCGCCACCCTGGTCCACTGCCGCGTCGGCGTTTCCCGCAGCGCGACCATCTGCATCGCAGAGGTGATGCGATCCCTTAACCTCTCATTCCCGCGGGCGTACTGCTTTGTGCGTGCTCGGCGGCTCAATGTTATCATTCAGCCTCATCTAAGATTCGTGTACGAGCTGCTTAAGTGGGAGGAGATGCTGCAGCTCAGACGTCAATGGGCTGAAAATGTCCATGATGCTGGGCGAGGCATCCGAAGGGAACTCGAGTGGGGCGAGATCGCGCGGGAGATCGCGTCGATGAATCGCCCTTATGCGAGATAAGAGGTTTAGAGCCGGCTCTGATCGAAATATTGTATTTCGAAGCATTGAGGGTACAGTCAATGACTCGAAACTCGCATAAGCTTTGCACTGAGAGCAGAGTCGTTGGATTCTGGGCCGCCGTGCTGAATCCTAGGGTGGCTCGCATCGAGGATCAGCTCTAATCGTGATTTGCGGCAAAACCACGACTAAGAGCAACGGAAGAGTCGAGCGTGATGATGAGTTTGACTCATTACCACCGTCTGTGCCCACGCCCGACTAATTAGACTCTCGAAGGGTACAGCAGTACCCATACATTTCTATTTCTTGGCTTACGATTGTGCTTCGTTTCGGAGTTGGCGGACCAGGCGGAAGCACCACATGATTTTCACTTCTAACGACGGCATGACACGACCATTTTTGCATTTTTTCAAATACCGAGAAAGGGGGAGAACATGGGGGGCTGAAAACCAGGGGGGCATCACACATACCTTCCCCGGGCCCTGTTGCATCATCAGTTCCATCTACTGGCGCCGCGGCGTCGTGGGTTTTGAAGAGACAGTTTTTCATTTCGATCATTCACGGATGAAGGGACGGGTTGGATTAGGGGTGAAGCATTAACTTACGTTTGAATCGTTTATTGTAGCACTGTTGTAGTAAGTAGTACGTACGTACGTACGTACGTACATGTATGTGAAGGATGGATGGATTGGACTGGACTGGAGGGAACTTCAAAGGGTTTAGGGATTACGGAACTGGATATCTATCATCTTCAAATAATAAGACTGTCAAGGGGATTAGGACTGAGCCACAGTGGACAACTACCACTCCAGACTAGTCCCGCTTCAATTGCTGACGTGTGCGTTCAAGAAATTGCCGCTATTAATAACATTTTGTTCTCTTCGACGGTGAATATTAGTAATCTGTATTGGGAAGTAGATGATGATACTCGGTAACTTCGTAACTATGAACCCAGGCCGCTTGGACGCCAGACGCTTAATGCAAAAACACGACGCTCCCATTCACGCAAAATACAAATCCTCCTTCTCTGGGGTATGATCGCTCTCAGATGGTAGGGCTTTCGCGGTGCAGCAGAGATGAGCCGTAGAATTAAGAAAAGGAGGGAGAACAAAACACCATACTCCCGACTACATAACCTAACCGTTAACGCCGTCCGAATGCTAATTCCCTTTTGTGACGTGCTGCCAATTGTCACCCCCGAGTTCCCCATCATCATCGTCATCTTCCTCCTCTCCTACCTTTATCTCTTCTTTGATTCTGCTATTGCTCGTGCCGGCATGACTGCTCTACGGTCCATAATTAGAGGCATCGAGCTTATCGTCGCTATCGAGGACACTAGAGGGATAATGGTTAGTTGGGCTAGGACTCGAACAAAGAAGAGAGACAAGAAGGCGGTAGCACGAACGAGAACTGTTTCACAAGGTAGCCCTCTCCACCCTGATCCATATCGATGTTGAAGACGTAAAAACCACCGTCGTTGGTAACAACCATAACTTGTGGGCTGCTACTACTCATCGCCACTACGCTGCGTAGTTGTTGATTGCCCGCTCCGCCGGGGCGTGGTGCCGTAGACGTGCTCTTTGGTATCTTGATGTACGCGAAATCGCGCAGCGGCTCCCACATCTCCGTCACAGTCTGTGGTAGATAATTTCCGACGACACCAGCTACGCTGCGACCCATGATCTGCGACGACCGGCGCAGCATGCTGCTAAATGACCCGCTTTGCCTCCTATTCGCCACGGGTCTATTCGCCGTCGACGTTGGAACGTCAGCCGCCTCGCTACGTGGAGAGCCCTGCGCGCTATTAGACGAGTCGTTACCGCTATCATAGCTACGACTACGAGACCAACGATCTTTCCGAGGAGATGTGGGGGTCTGCGCCTCAGGGTTGTTACCGTTGGGCCCTGGCTGCTGGAGTCGGAATATGTGTACGGTATCTGAAGTAGAAGATACACAGAGAAGCGAGCTCGCCATATTGAAGGACATGCTATAGATCGTGCTGGGATATGTTCCACGTCGGAATTGGAAAAGCTTCTCCCCACGGGGCACCGAAAATACTCTGATGATTGTCCCCGTCTCACTAGCTGTTGCTAGCAAGGTCCCTTCGCTGTTGAGCGCAATGCAGGATAGGGGAGAGCGATGTGCCTCGACTACGTTAACGGCCCGCATAGTCAATGTATCGTATATAAGGACGTCTCCAGACGTTACGGGAGCGTAGAGCGAAGCTGGCGGCGCATGCGAAGGTCGCTTATCTTGTGTATCTTCGCGGGGTTTCGGCAAAGGGTAAGCGAGGTACGAATGTTCGTGGGAAGGCGACAATGCGCAGACAGCGGCAGGATTCGGGGAGGTCGCGATATTAGTGAGGAGTGACATAGTAGTTATATCATAGAGGTAGATCTCATCCTCGAGCACAACAGCTAATCGCTTGCGATTTAGGCGGACGGCAAGGATTGCAGATGGGAAGGTAAGTTCGCATATAACGGAGGCACGCTTCGTATTCTGGACTATAAGATGGCGGGGGGAGAGGACAAAAGCGACGAGCGAAGTTGAAAAAAGCATCTCGACAATAGCGATATTGCCATCATCGCTACTGAAGATCTTGGAGAACGGTTCGGTGTGGTAGATGCGAAATCCCCTCGAGGTACCTATAGTTATTGAGTTATTAGCTTCTTAAGGACTTATTACCCCTACGATATACTACTAGGAGAGAGACAGGGTTAAGACAAGAATCGACATACCGACAGCTAGGCAGCTGTGATCTTGGTTGAAGGTGACGAAATTGAGAGCTGGGTTCGACATGGCTGAAGTAAGACGGGCGATTCGGGACTGGGAATAGGAATAACTATTGCAGCTCAATATTAAATAGTTGGGTGTATGATGTACTTGATTATGACGTTCCAAAGTTATAATATGGTGAATATGAAGCTTTGCCTGTAAGTCCGATTCCAATCTAAAGGCGGTCTCTGCATCAAAGCCGTCTCAATTCGAGTATATCCTTCCCCGTCATGACAAAGGGAAATCAACAAGTTAGGCTACAGTAACAGCTTCATTCGTCAGGACAGTGTAAGGGGAAGAGCTGAGAAGTCGGGCTGCTGGGTAAGCTGGGTAAGCTGTGTTGTAACTACCTAAGCTTCCTAGATTCGTCAATACTCGGGGAAAGCTGGAGATGCTAAAAATCCGAGGAGGTTGGAATTTGGATTTTGGGTGGGGGAGAAAGGCTGAAATCATCAATCAGATGCTATTGTCAGGCGGGGAACCATATAGGTAGCACGCTATTGCGCTGTAGCTGTGGAGCTTTAGGTCTTTTAGACTCGTGCCCACTGCCTGATAAACCCATGTGCTGATCACTACCGCATGCTAAGTCACGTACCTAGGTACCTACCTAGGTACATTTTATAGTGCTTGCCCTTGTCCAGCTTAGGTGCGTCGTCACTGCTCGAACAAGACGAGTCTGAACTACAACGGATTTGAGGGTTAAAAAGTTAGCACAATTTTCATCTTTGAATTAGGTAATGCGACAATTCTTATTAACTAACCTAGATATTTTAAAAAGATATCCTTGTAAAAATGAGCCTCAAATTTAAGAATAGCATATTAAATACACGTAAAGGGAAAAAGACATCTCGGCCTTATCCGAAGATAGATTAACTACAGGCAAAATTGATAAGATTTGCTTGCTCACTTGATCATCTTACTCTCAACCAACCTATCATCACTCCCACTCACAAAATCATACCTACATGATTACTCTCTCACGTGCTTCCTTTAATTAGGATGGCTACTACCGCCAAAGTCAAGGGCCAGCAAGGCCCGGGCCGTTCAACAAAGCAACGAGCCCTAGACGATTTAGTTATGGCTGTGCGTCTTGTTTCTATCATCCATACACACATTTTAATTTTCTAATCTGCCCCTCAAGACAAACAGCAGTAGTATCGTATCTAAACGGAGCGTAGAACGCATCTATTATCCAAACGAGCCTCACTTCTTTCGTTTCTTTGTAAAGAAGTTCCAGCGGCGAGCTCCGTTGATCAATCGAGGCTATCATATTCGACTACATGTTATTGACGTTGCTGTTCGTCGATTCCTTGAAAGGCCTTCAGAGAAGAAGAAGGTAGTCATAAATCTAGGCTGTGGAAGGTAAGCTTCCATCTCGCTGTTATATTCGATGTAGTCTCTAATCTTTAATAGTGACGTGCTCCCATGGCAGTGTATGACCAGATACCCTGACAAATGCCAAAATGCCAAATTTGTGGACATTGATTTTCCCGACTTGATAGAAAAGAAATGCCGGATCGTCCAGGATACTCCTGAGCTCAGGTCTCCGTTAACCGGGCTGAGAACGAATGTAGGAAACCATATAGTGCTACAGAGCGATCAATATGTCGAGATCGGCTGCGACCTGCGCAACATCTCTGATATAGAACGGGCGCTTTCAACTGTTGTTGATATAGCTCACTGCGAGTTCATGTTTGTGGCAGAGGTCTCCATTACATATATGGAGACTGAATGCGCAAATTCAGTCATTCAATGGGCTAGCACTCTTGGACAAGGTAGGTTATCCTGATATATCAATTAATACTACTAGGGACTGATAAAGATTAGCCGAATTCTGTCTACTCGAGCAAATTATTCCAGATGGTGAAGATCATCCGTTTGCAAAGACGATGCTGGCGCATTTTGAGAAGTTGAAAACTCCTCTAAAATCTGTTTTCACCTACCCGGATATCAATACCCAGCGGGATCGGTTCGTCAAAAGGGGCTGGCTACAGGTCGACGTTAACACTCTTTGGCAAATATGGGCCGATGACCAGTGGCTTTCGGCAGATGAGAGGAGAAAGCTCGACGCGATTGAGCCCTTTGACGAATGGGAAGAATTTGCAATTTTCGCTGCCCATTACTGCGTGGTTATCGCCAAGACAAACCCGGTAACAACTCAAGCGGCTACCAGCATCTCCAGGGATCTTAAGAGACTCGAGGCCCCTGTATTGTCCCTGGATGCCGACTTCAGAGAATATTCTGGTACTCGCGGGCAACGCCGATTTGGCGCTGCGATGAAGTTAAAGAACCACCTAGGAGAAGAGTTCTTGTCTAACACGTTCGGACTTGGTACAAATAGTCGATTAAGGTCATATGACCTCTATGTTAGCGAGTCAACTCTACAAGATGTTAATACGCATCATACTGGCCCAAGTAGTCGCATGTGCCACACTATTACGAACTTGGGCGAGTATGGAAACCTCTTGGTGGGAGGCAGAACTTCTCCGTCAAGCGCTCTGCGAGATTGTTGGCTCCTCCATAAAGGGAGCAATAAATGGCAACGGGTGGATGATCTCCCAGTGCCATTATGTCGACATGGAATAGTAAGACTCGGTAATTCGGACCTCGCTCTTTTAGTCGGAGGTAAATCTGACGCATCAACCATTTTCAATGGGTGCCTCCTCTATCGGCCAGGCTTGGGCTGGATTGAGTGCGAGATTCAGGGGTCAGAATATGAGCCAGTCTTTGGCAGCCTGTTAGCTAGTCTTGGAGGACCGACCCATTCAACAGCAAACAATGGTATCCAATTTGATGGTATGATGGCAGGTGGTATCTCTCGGGATGGCGTTATCGCTAAGCAGATTTTGCGATGGGCTTTGGTGCTCTCAGGAAATGGTAAACCTACTATTTCATTTACAGCTTTATCGACTTCAAATCCCCCTAATTCGTCGACACGGGAGATGCACAAAGTCAACTATTCCGACGACCTAATCAACCGCTACGGTGCCTCTGGCTTCATCTCTCCGGAAGGATATCTGACTATAATTGGGGGCATTCTCGCAAACGACATAGTCACGCGAGATCTTGATGTCCTGATTATAGACATCTCTAGTCTACATTATAAAATTGTCTCCTCTTGCCAGATCGCAATCACTCCTAGGCCATTGCTTATAGGGGTTTCAATCGAGCAAGCCAACGATGGTCAATTGGTTGTAATGGGTGGAGGTGCTACATGTTTCTCCATGGGAACATTTTGGAATCCGGGTTGTTATACATTAAGGCACACCCCTAAGGCTTTTACTACCGGGGTACCAGCACCACACAACAACAGGGGAATATGGAAACACTCAAGAATTGTCGAACTTACGGAAGAGATAGAACGGCATCATGCCTCGACTTCTTCGGATAGGAAGGCAGTGGAGAAGGTTGACATACCTAGGCTTCAGATCAATACAGCAGACGAATTTTCAGCAGTGTTAAAGGCTGGAAAACCTGTGGTTTTCGAGGCAAGCCAATTAGGAAACTGTATCCAGACCTGGACGTCAGACTATATCGTAAAGCAACTTAGTCCTGATAGAGAGGTAATGATTATCCCAAGTTCCATATACGATCCGACCTAATCACGTCACTAGGTGGTTGTTCATGAAGCCGATAGCCAGAAGATGGATTTTAATAGCAAGAACTTTGCATATGTCACGAAGAAATTTGGAGACATCATGCAAGGAATCTCAGATGGCCAAAAGCTATATCTGCGTGCCCTTTCAGGGGACCACCCATCTGATCAGCCGGCTAATATCAAAGTCGACTTCCCGCAACTGGCCGAGGATTTCCGACTTCCCGATGCGCTCTCGTTTGTAAAGCAGAACGAATTCAGTTCCGTGTTGCGGATCACTGGGCCAGTTAATATGTGGCTTCATTACGACGTAAGCGGAATCACGAGTCTGGCTTTTAGTATAACTGGCTGACATTATACCAGGTCATGGCAAACGTATATTGCCAAATAGTGGGCTCTAAAAGATTCATCTTATTCCCGCCGACAGATGTTACCAAGCTTTCATTTGCCCCGGGTTCATCCAGCTCGAGTATTGACGTATTTTCCGAACTTGAATCGCTTTCTCTTGCCGAAACACATCCTCACGAGGCTATGTTGAAACCTGGCGATATACTGTTCCTACCTCCTCTTTGGCTGCATACTGCAACTCCATTGAGTAACTTAGGGGTCGCTGTTAACGTCTTCTTCCGCAACCTTGAAAATGGTTACTCAAGTGGAAGGGATGTGTACGGAAACCGGGACCTTGCGGCTGTAAGTTCTCAATTTTTGTCTGCTGACACTGTTGTTCACTTCCAATTGTTTCGCTCGAATTTCATCTCAGCTTACATACAATCATCGCTAACTGTAGATGTCATAGTATGAAAAGGGTCGTCAAGATATTACACGTATCGCAAACAGCTTCAGTAAGTTACCGCCTGATATGCGAGATTTTTACATCAAGCGTTTGGCAGACGAACTTTCCCAGAAAGCACTCGACTGAGAAACCGGCCAATTTCGTTATTGGTTTTATGCCCATAACTCACCTAATCGGCTCCAGAGGGAGGTCGAAAGACTTCTAACCCAAGTTACTCGGCGGTAGGTATAAAAAAAGAAATGAAGGTGACAAATTCGAGCACCGTGATACTCGGAAGGTTAGTAGCATAGGTTGAGCAATCATCTCAAACGAAACAGCGCTATTAAATCTAACGGCGAGTCATCGTATATGAAATAGATACACAGGTACCTAGGTAGATATAGGATATCTTGACGCCAGTCTTGCTACTATAAAATTTTGCGGCTCCCAGATGAAATATTCAAGCGAGTCGCTGCCAATGTCTGAGCATTAAACCTCAAGTCCGGACCGGGATCGGTATTGGGCCCACCGGACCAGCCGATGAGGCGATATTGGCTTGGTGCATAGTTCGTGGACCGAACCAGTCAGGATAGTCGATAGCCGTGTGAAACATCTGGTAGTTCGCCCACATGACAATATCCCCTTCTTCTAAACTCGGGATCAATATATACTCCGGTTTCAATACTCTTTCTTGGATAGTCTTTAGTAGCTTCCTGATTTCTACGAGATCTTCGATTGTCCTGGGTTCTTCTGTCGGGGACGAGCGAATGAAGAGCTTTCTTGCGCAAATTCCGTGGACTTGGAAGGCTTTCTCGCCTGTTACGGGGTTGACCCAAACCACTATAACGAGAATTAATAATTAATTACTTTCTAAGTAGGGAGTTTGGGTTTAGACATATTCTTGATACGTACTGGGATAGGTTTTTACATCCTTCGGGTCGAAGTCACCTAGATCCTCGAGCTGCTTCTCTTTACCCTGGCTGACAAGTCCAAGACCATTGGAATTCCCCTTACAATCGCCTATCCACATATACTATTTTATTTTCAATAATTACTAGCCGTCCAAGTATTCATAACTATAGAATAATACACTTACCGGATGAGGTGCATATTCGACCCAGCTGTGATCTGCCATCTTCTTCTCATCCTCCGTCATCATCTCGTACATCTGAACGTTACTAATAAACGCAGTGAGCCCGGGCTCTGCCTTCATGCTGAGGCCGGACCCGTCATCCCATCGGACGTTGACTTGGGGCTTAATAGGCCGCTTCACACAGCGCAGAGTCGTAAACCACGCCGGATCCCTTCCGTAGAGCGGCGCGTCCATATGCCATCGTTGGAACCGGGTATTCCCCTTCGCGAACTCGTCTTGTGGAAGCTCCTTGTCATGCCAGTCGTGAGAGAGCGGTTTAGTAATGTTCTTGTTCTTGATGCCGTAGTGGTCTTCGCCTTGGAAGCCCTTCCCGATTAGACGGACGTTCTCGGCGCCCGGTATACCTACTACTTCGCGATATTTCTTATCTCATTTTTAGGATTTGTTCTACCCGTATCAGGAAATACCCTAAATCACTTACAGAAAGCAAGCCTCCTTTGCTGTTGAAAGTCTTCAAATCACCGTGAGAGTGGATCTGTGGCGCATCTGGATCGAATCGCGTTACGAGCTCCCATTGTTTTATCGGGGCGAGGTCTTTTTGCCCCTTGACCACGATGACTTTATGCGTCCAGATGGCATCTGCCAGGTGGCGGACGTCGATATCTGACTATGTTAAATGCCCGGCTCATAACTTGGTAGGAGTAGCGCGTACCATTTATATCATTCAGGTCTATATCACTGACGATTGCACCATAGTCATGTTTATCGTTGGAAGATTTCTTCATCGTCGTGATCGTGAAGGTCGCCTCTGAAATAGTAGCGCTTGGTGACATTATGAAGCCTTTTCAGTTTTATATACTAGTTTAATTATTTTATATTATGGTAAAGCTATTGTCCTAAGAAGCATAATCACCCAGGGAGAAGATAATGATTAATATAGTCTATCATCGGCGTTGATACGCTCTATCACCAACATGCATGGGGCTATCTATCGGAAATGGCCGGTGATACGAGTCACCGCATACGGTATCAAGAGACGGGCCGGGGGTCTCCAACGAAGGTCAAAGTGTAATAGCTCATGACAGGGAACAATAGCGATATCTTCCCTTCTTTGGTATACCGTCATTGCCAGGATATAGATAGTTCGTAACTCAATGACTAGGTGTAAATTATGTTCATGACACACATACCTACCTAGGTACATACCTACACGCATACGCAAATATATAAACACCCATGGCTCTTCTAGATACCAATAGACTAGGCAAATTCCAACCTCTATTAGCAACGCTGTTCAACAATAAGATACAATGCGGCTACTATCTATCATCCAAGCTACATTCGTCTACCCTGGTTTCCTAAGGCTCTGCCTAGGGCATAATCACTTCTACCCGCGAGCAGACCACGAGCAGACACTCATTAGCGAACCAACAGCTACCAATGGCATCCCCTTCAGCACGAGGGTCTACTGGATGCGCCAAGCCAACCTCGCTCTCGGCCACCCTTGTCCCAAAGCTCCGTTCGGAACCGTGATTGTGAACCACACGGCTAATTCGGGACTCGGGGAGCTCGTCTGCACAGGCGCCAACAGTAGGAGCGCAACTGGAAACCCAACGCTTCATGGTACGTATATAAGAATTATATATATATATATTATTTCTTGGCGTAACAAGGCTCACAATTAGAACTACAGGAGAAATTGCAGCTATCAACAACTGCACCCAAATCCTAACAGACCCCTCGGGGCCATACAAACTATCACCCAAAGAGGCACTCGCCGCCTTCGCAGACTTATCGCTATACACCAACGCCGAGAGCTGCCCGATGTGCGCGTCTGCGGTGCGGTTCGCTGGGTTCAAGGAGTACGTGTACGGCACGTCGATCGACACGCTTGTGGAGCGTGGTTGGGACCAGATCCAGATCCCGTCCGCGGAGGTGTTCCGGCGATCGTCGGGGCTACCGAGTTCAAGTACTCTGATTGCTGATGTCCTGACGAACGAGACGGATCCGCTGTTCGCGTGGCAGAATGACCCTCAGTATCCGTGCCCCCGGGGATGCTCGCGGGTGGGAGGACGTTGTGAGGCGGACGCCGCGAAGCAGAGTGCTATAGTGGTTAGATTTCATCGTGGTTCTATATTGGCTGTGGTAGGGGGGTCTGGGTATTTGGCGTAATTTAATTACTGCTGAATTGGTACTATTAGGAGGACGGGAGACAACTTTAGGAGTCCGTTACTACAGACACGAACCCGAAACAGGGGCACTTTTGGCTCTTGACTAGTTCTGGGATATATACACCTGCTTTTACGCATCACATAGTAATGATATTACCTAACCCTAAACTGAAGCAGACCTAAGCCTGCTCTGCTTTCACCTCCCTCCTCATCTTCTCATCCCGAGCCGAACCACTTTCCACATCCGCGTCAACCGCGCGCAGAACCGGAACAACTCCAGGAACTATATTCGGTATCAACGTAGTCTCATCCGGGAAGAAGTAATTCAGAGCATAGTACATAACAACCGACACGACGAACCCATACAGCCAGTTAAACGTAAACAGGTTCACGAGCCCCTGACCAATATCCACATTCTGCGGCGTAACCTTCTTCGCCAAAGCCGGGAGAAGCGGCACAATAACAACCAGCGTCGGGACCAGAGCGCGCCAGTTCGCGCCCCATCTATACCGGTATATGCCATCGGGATCATACAGAGCCGGGACGTCGTACCGGCGCTTCTTAACAACCCAATAATCGCAGACCAGAACGCCCGCGATCGGCGCCATGAAAATCGCATACGCGCTCATGAAATTCAAAAACGCCGCAGCCGACGAGATGATTATCCACGGACACAAAGCCCAGCCGCCCAGCAGGGAGACGAGCACCACGCCCCGGCGGATATTAAACCACTTCGGCGCGAGGGACGTCACGTCGTTGGCGAAGGAGATGCCGTTCGCGCTGATATTCACCGAGACCTGCGCGAGCAGCCAGATCGCCGCGGCGAAGAACGCCGCTGCCCTTCCGCCTGGCGAGCCTTGCCACTGGCCGATGATTTCCAGCGGGGACCAGTACACGGTCCCGTATACCTTTTTCGAGGCGCTGGCGGAGATGATGCCGAAGACGCCGACGAGGGTTTTGAAGATGGGGATGAAGGGGAGTTGCCAGAGCTGGGCGCCGCGTGTCTTGCTGAAGCGCGAGAAGTCGGGGATGTTGACTGCTAGGGTGGAGTAGCCGCCTGTTACGCTGGTCTGGGGGTGGTTGGTTAGCTGGTAAAGGGTGTATGAAGGTTTGTAGGTTGGGGGTTGGGCTGTTTACGTACTAGATTCGATAGCCATAGCCATGCTCGAGTAGACCCGGACACCGTAGCTGGTGCGTAGAAGAAACCCCCCTGTCCACCGGCGACCACCGTAATCCAGATAACCATCGCCAGTGCCATCGGCGTGACCAATACCGTCTTGACCCAAAACAGATGCTGCAGCCTATGCGACGGGATCATGAGTAGGGGAAACTGGATACACCAATATATGAAGTAGCTCAGCAGCCCCTGGCTCGTGGTGCCCGCTGATTTAGGGAGCGTATTGGGGAGTCTCGCGTAACTCGGCCAGATGGCGGTGATGATAGCAGTCACACAGGTTCCCCCGTTGGCACTCTGGACGCCGAACCAGAATAGTGCCAGGATGGCTCTCGTCACAACGCAGAAGTAGCTCAACCAGTAGCCGTAGCTAGCTCGGCAGGCAATAGGGAACGAGATGTGTAAGTCAGCGCCGATGGCACCGTTGAGGACTGTCGGGATCGCATTGCACTACGGTAGTTAAGTTAACATTTAGGTATAATCACGATGTATATCAGCGTGGTGTCGAGTGATTGGGTGAGTAGACATGACTCTTCTGAGAGTTTGTAGTCTTGAATAAGACAAAGGGGTGTAAGGGGCTTGAGAAAATAGCTCAGGAATATACATACTATAGCCGCAACAAGAACAATAAGAACAGCATCAGTAGCCGTCAAGCCAGTCGTCATTATAGCACTGGCAGCAGTCCATGTCGAGACAGTCACCAAGTCCGAGTACCAATAGCCAATGAACGCCCACTTGGTCCATGTCTGCTTCTCCTCTGGGACCGGATCTTGGTCTATTACACAGGTCAGCGGCTGTTATTAACAGCAAGAACTCGACGACAGCCGGATATAATTGAAAGAAAGAAAAAGAAAAAAAAGATAAACGTGCCAGCATTCGTCCATATATGAGCCGGGGCAATACTGCTAGTCTGCTTGGGCAATTTCCAGCTATGCCAGTCCGTCAGCCGAGCTCGAGTCTTCTCCTTAATAGCATGGCCCCGCTGTCGAAAGGTAAATGAATCCATCACTACGATCGCATTGAGAAGAATTTACTCTGGCGTAATGGTCGAACTGCTTCAATTGATACTATCCCATTAGGCCTTGTCTTTGAGTCTTACCTTAAAGACTGTTTGTGCGACCATCTACGTTGGCGGAGACTTCTTCATATATCTATATATCTGAATCTTACAAAAGCAACCATCCGAATCTCGTCCCAAGACATGGTGGCTGGTATCATTGCAGTTTATCTGTTGGTACTAGGTAACGGAATTTCGTCACAGGGCTGACATGTGTGATATCGAAGATAAAGCAAGTTGCCGTCATTGGCAAATCGGGTTTGAGAAACAAGGTGCTTATCATTACCCCAGCTCCTTTGGGTATGATACTCGGCAAAGCAATGACCTCTCTCGAACATCCCGGTCCGATAGATGATAGATGCTCATTCTCCGTCGGATAAGAACCACACAGTACAGACACATGGCTTGAAGGTTCAAAATCATTCATTACGGTACCGTACTTAGAAACCCATTAGCAACCGCCCGTCTATGTAGCCTCGATTGTTGGTCCCCGAGGCCGCTTTATACACAAGATAAAATACAAAAACATGAAAATAACAATGCTCGCCCCGTCCCCCATGTCAATGCTTTACTTTTCGCCTTCCATTCCGTCTACTCGCCCTTTAGTTTATCCTGCGTCACTGTGAACGCCATCTCTAGCAACTCCTCTTCTTCCTTCTTGTGAACAGTCTTTAGACCAGTGGCAACCGATGCTGAAGGGTTTCGGCCGGCGTACATGACGTGCTTGCGGTCGTGGAATTGAGTTTCGTTCAGGAGAGTTTCGATACGCGGTTGAGTAAAGCTCCATCCACCAGCATTTAGGGGCTCTTCCTGAGCCCAGACAATGGTCTTGGCATTCTTGTACGTATCTAGGTTCTCCTTAACTTGCTCCCACGGGAAAGGGTTCAGCTGCTCAATTCGAGTGAGTGCAACATTGTCGATCTTGTTGTCGGCGCGGTATTTGTGAAGCGCCGCCCACACCTGACCGGTGCAGAGGATGACTCGTTCGATTTCCTCGGGGGACTTGATGTTACCGGCTTCGTGCTCAGGGTCGGGAATAATCCACTTGAAATGAGCATCAGGACCAGTGAATTCCTCGATGTTGGAACGGGCTAGAGGGTGTCGTAGTAGCGACTTAGAGAAGAATATTACAAGGGCTACAACAATTAGCAATTATATACACCATGATACATCTCGTATGAGTAACTTACGCTTTCGGAATTGTCGGTGCATCTGTCGGCGAAGAATATGGAACAGGTTAGCAGGCGTGGTCATGTACGCAATCTGCATGTTGCAATCCTGGTGCTGGCGCTCGAGCTTTTCCTGAGACGGGTATACGCGCGGGTCCTCGTTGCAGAGTTGCAAATATCGTTCCATGCGGCCAGAAGAATGCTCGGGGCCTTGTCCGTCATAACCGTGGGGGAGAGACATGACCAGACCGGTTCGCTGCATCCACTTCACTTCGCCAGAGGCGATAAACTGGTCAATGATACATTGCGCGTTGTTGGCAAAGTCACCGAATTGAGCCTCCCACATAACCAATGCGTTTGGCGACGACAGCGAGTAACCGTACTCGAAACCTAAAGCACCATACTCACTCAAGGACGAGTTAGAGATAACAAACTTGCCTTGGTCCTTGCTGACGTGTTGCAGGGGTGTGTATGTGTCCTCAGTTTCTTGGTCGTGGAAGACGGCATGCCGTTGCGAGAAGGTACCTCTCTCTACATCTTGGCCGGAAATACGAACGTGATGGCCCTCAGTGACGAGCGAACCGAAGGCGAGAGCTTCGGCGGTCGACCAGTCAATGTTCTTACCCTCGAGTACCGACTTAGTGCGGTTTTGCAGGATACGCTTTAGGTTGCGATGGACATGGAAGCCTTCAGGAGCAGAGCCAACGACCTCACCGATGTGCTCTAGAGTCTTCTGATCGACGCTGGTCGGCATGTGTGGTAGAACCTCAGTCGCCAACTCCTTGGGGGACTTGAAGCCATTCCAGGCAGATGTAGTCCACTCCTTGGATGTTGGCTGATAATCTTTAGACTTAGCAAAGCTTTCCTCTAGCATACCCCAGACCCATTGTTTGTGCTCTTCGACGTCCTCCTTCGTGAAAGTACCGTCCTGGAGCAACTTCTCTACGTAAATGTTGATTTGAGGCTCCTTGGCAGCGATGCGCTTATACATCAGGGGTTGAGTGAAGGAGGGTTGGTCCGTCTCATTGTGACCGTGCTTGCGGTAACAGATGAGATCGATAACGACATCAGATCGGAACTCGGCGCGCCAATCTGCGGCTAATTGACAGACGAAGTTCACGGCCTCAACATCGTCAGCGTTCACGTGGAAGACGGGCGCGTCTATAGCCTTGGCGATATCCGTGCAATACGCGGTCGAACGAGCAAATCGAGGGTCAGTGGTGAAACCAATCTGGTTGTTGACGACCAAGTGGATTGTTCCACCAGTTGAGAAGGCTGGGAGGGAGTGGAAACCAAGACATTCATATACGATACCCTGAGCAGCGAAAGCAGCGTCACCGTGTAATAGCACGCCCATGGCAGTTCGATGCGTCGTCTCATCATTGTTGTAGTGCTGGATAGCTCTGGTCTTTCCAAGAACGACTGGATCTTCGGCTTCAAGATGAGAAGGGTTGGCCACGAGAGAAAGCTGAACTCGCTTGCCAGACGGCGTAGGACGCTCAAAGTTCATACCCAAATGGTATTTGACATCTCCTGACCCTTCGTCTTCAGCACCAGTAGTGCCTGCGAATTCGCTGAAGATGGACTCGTTCGGCTTGCGGACGACGTTGCTGAGCACATTAAGACGACCACGATGAGGCATTCCGATGACAATATCTTTAACGCCGTAGTCGACACTTCGGTCGATGAGCGCCTTCATTCCGGGTACGAGGGTCTCGCAACCCTCCAGACCGAATCGCTTATCATTGGGATATTTGGTAGCCAAGAAGGATTCGAAGCTGGAACTCCAGATTAAACGGTCAAGAATTCGGCGCTTCTCGTCAATCGAATACTTAAAGGGTTGGGGAACTTCGACGCGCTCCCTCAGCCAGTCGCATTTAGCCCTATCAGGGATATGAATGAACTCGACACCATAGGACCCGCAGTAGATCTTCTCGCAAGCGGCAATGATCTCGCAGAGAGTCATCTTGTCTCGACCTTCTCGCTTGAAGCGCGGGAGGATACCCGGGCCCAGGGTGAACTCCTTATCGAGATCCTTTTCGGTAAACTGGTAGTGGTCGAGGGATAACTCGTTAATCTTGGTATTGGAAGAACCTCTTGGCTCATTGCGGATGCCAAGAGGGTCGATATCGGCCTTGTGGTGGCCACGAGCCTGGTACGCGCGAACTAGTAGCTGCACTTTCAGATGATTCATAACGTCAGAGCCCTGACCGACTCCCACGCCCACGGCTGGCCCAACACCGCCAGTCGCATTGGGAACGAGAGTGGGAGGAGGGGTGAAAGCTTGCTCGATGGGCATGTCGCCACTCTCCATGTTTTTAAAGTAGACCTGCCATGACACATGGACGCTCCCCGGATCCTCTTTCCACTGCAGATACATCTCATCGATGTAGTTGGCAGTGTTACCGGATAGGAAGTTGTCATTAGGAGAGGGTGCCGACGTCGTGGTAGAGGAATACCTCTTCTGGGCGGCGATAGCGAGAGGACGACGAGCGGCGCTAAGGGAGAAACATCTCGAGGATTGGGATATACATTTCGAGGTGCGGCAGCTAGCTCTAAGAAGCTGGCTGCTCGAAGAGCGGAGGGTGCTACTCAGCATGGCGCCAGGCTGATGCTTCGACAGCTATAAAAATGGATTAGGACCGTATAGAAAAAATGACAAACTTGCTGTCAACTCGGGCATGTAAAAACCCTAGAAAACGACTTTATTAAACTCCTACCAAAGGACGAGATGCTATTATCCCGAGAAGAGATTAATGAGCGGCGGAGTAAGTCTAGGTTTGAACAGTACCTTTAGTGAGTTGAGGTGCTGGAGGAGAGAAACTGGGATAGACTGGGAATGGTCATGCTCCCCAAGTTTGGAGAAAATGAAAAACGTAGCGGTAGCGACTGCGACTGCCCCTGCCCCTGTCGTCACCCGGTCGCAGATCTAGGAGCCAAGAAGACCCGGCAATGCCGACTATACGATTAAACAGTATTATAGATGTTTATATCCCATATTGTTCGGCTGTCGTTGCATGCAGTTAAAAGTTAAATTTGTATTTACAGGCTAAATTCGGCTTCTGGAACACAGTTGGGTTAGGCTGGTTTAGGGCAGTGGCTTCAATCCTGACGTTTTAATTCGGTAGAAAGGCCCGATTCTCGCCGTAAAAAAATTCCTAAAAACCACCGAGGCTATGGTAGACCTTTTTAACACTTAACATAGATTCTACAATCGAGGCCTTTTTAATCGCTCAAATAGCTTGGTTTGCACTTATACGATATCACACATATTTTTATAGAACAATCACACAGCTTACATCCCGTCCGCGAGGCTTGCTTTTAAGGCGCTGATTAATCCACGCAATGCGTGTCACAGGACGAGACGGCAGTTGGCTCAGGTAGCTTGGAGGTGGTTACAGAACCTAATGTACCTACTGCATGTATGTAGGTAGCTGGGTTCTTTATCAGAAGACAGAAAGCTCAGGTACTTACGAGGTAATGCGCGCATTCCACGTTGATAGTGGAGTTCGTGCTTAGGGGATACCTATGAAACTATCCAAATAACTGAACACTTAACACTAGATCCCGTTGACCCGTAAAACTGTAGGAGTCATAAAAATGCGGTAAAGTCACCGCTCATACTACAACAGATATTTGTTTCCATAATTGTTTCGATGCTTCGGCGCCAATAGTTGAAGTCATTTCGTCACAATCGTCATAGAAGCTAGCAACCATTGGCATCTTGGTTACTGAGCTGTACATAGTACATCTTGAAATATTATGTCCAACTAAAATGCTTATTTATACCGGGATATCTAAGTACAATGTATCTTCATAGCTTGAGCCAAGCTCAGTGTGGCTTTCGCTATCATGTGGGGTCCTCAGCCTCAAATTGTGAGCACAAGGTACAAAAGTACATGTAGACAGCCTTTCATTGGAACAAGTCCGTTTTGTCTATGGCAAGCACTTACTTGAGCTCTTCATCCCAAGGTCGACCGCGTCGGAATCTCAACTTACCTACTTCTTTAACAAGAAAGACGTAATATACTCAAGAAATCTCAAGGTTGGCCTAAGAACAACCGCCTAGTGCAGCCTGTGCAGGAGCCTTGCCGTATGGATTCGTTGTAGTATTACCATCCTGCCATCCTGATTTTTGGGCACCTTTTAATTATATCACTTCTCATTCGGTATCTATCAAGTAATCAATTCTAAAAAGGAATACCAAAAGTACTACAACATAACACCGACACATCTAAAAAGTCGGGTGAGAATCTAGTTAGCGTCTTTAGAGACAACTGTATCCCGCAGTTGACCATTTTTTCATCTCGAGACAGCAGTCCTCCTTTGTCGTCCTTTGTCGTCCTTATTATCTCGTCATACCTATACGATGGCAATCCCGACAGGTGCTGCTGCCTACAAGAAAAAGGACGGTATACTCACCCTCACCCCGGACCGGCAAAATGTCATCTGGACACCGAACTCTGCACCAGATGGCGCACCGACGATATCTCTAAAGATATCAAATATCACCAGTAAGTGTTCTCTCAAAAATCATGATTCTTAATGACTGACCATTTCTTGCCTAGATCTACAGCAAACACCAGATACCGCTGCCAAGGTCATGCTCAAGATATTTGATAAACCCTCGGAGAATGCTGAACCGGTGGCCTACCTCTTCCATTTCAACTCTCCCTCAGATCCAAGGGCAGAAGCCAATGTTATCAGAGATCTCTTATCTAAAATTCTTGCTGAGGCTAAGAATAACGACCCTAGTGTCCCGCGAGCAGCTACGACATCTGCTGGGGGCAGTGGCTCGGCGTCTATGACATTTGCTAACACTGCTGTATCCAAGTCAGCAGCAGCGCGTTTGTTCGACGACGACGCTTTAAAGAGCGATATTGCGCTACAGCAATCACTTATGAAGGCGGATCGCAACCTCTCTCAGATGTACATGGAAGGTCGCAAGATGAAGCCCGACTCCATATCAGATGCTACATTTAACACGCAATTCTGGACCGCGAGGATCAATCTGCTCCGAGCCCATGCCATTGAGAATAGCCAGAAGAAAGGGCCCTACAATGTCTTGGCCCAAGTGCGGCCTACCGTACAGCAGAGCACAGATCCAGATAAACCCAGTGAATTAAAGCTGAAGTTCAGTGTCGAGCAGATGCAGATGATTTTCAGCCAGCACCCTCTCGTCAAACGCATCTACAACGAGAACGTGCCGCCCCTAGAGCAAGACAAGTTTTGGATGAGGTTCTTCCTCAGCAAGCTATCAAAAAAGCTAAGGGGAGAACGCGTCACAGATTTGGAGCCACCTGATAAAATATTTGACAAATATGATGAATATGACGACATCAAGGCCTTCAACAGCAAGTTCCTAGCGCAGCATGTGCCTCACATCATTGATATAGAAGGCAACGAAGAGAACCAGGGTGGTTTCAGGAGCGGTAACCGGAAGGATGTCGAGATGCGACCAAGGGGAAGAAAAGATGTACCCATCATTCAAACTTTAAATAGCATCAGCGAAAAGCTACTGACTACTGTTGTATCGTTCGAAAATGACTCTACTCAGCAGGCAGAGCTAGACGACGACAGTTATCGAGAACTCGCCCTACGCGATCTGCGGGGGGATGTTGAAGAGAACCGCATAATTCTAAACATCAAAGAACAAAGCAGGTTCTTCTCCTCGAACGAGGCAGGCACCATCTCCGAAACGGCAGCGGTGTATGCGAAGCAGAACCCATCGGAAGTACTCAAGGATATTCAAGGTGATGTGAGAAGCCTGAACACGTATAGTGCTGGGGGGGTCGATCTTCACGCTTCATTAGGTATCAATGACGACAGTGACAGCGAAGATGAGGGAGAGAGGGCTCCTCATGTAGGATCACGAGCATCGCGAAAGAGTGCGCAAAAACAAATCCTCGAGAGTATGGGGCAGAGGCGCTCTCAATTATTCGGCCACGACTTGGATGAAGCTTCACCCATGGGATTGCCCGCGGATATCGCACATTCTTGCAGTTTAACCCACGCTACTACCATAGAGTTCCTGCATCAATTCTGGTCGACATTCCTATCTGGTGACCCGGACCGGGCTATCGAGCTTGGATATCTGGCCGAAGCTCTTAAGCGATCTAAAGACAGGATAGATGCGGTTGCGGCAGAGGCCGAGGCGGCGCGAGAAGCGCAAATCAAGAAGAGAAAGGATGAAATTATACGAATTTACGAAGAGACCAAGAGAAAGATCAAGTTCAATTCCAAGTCTGTTCGTGGCGGTAAAGAAGCGGTTCTTAAGCTCATGGAGCCCACGATACAATCTCTAGATAAGGCCATAGCCGATTATCAGAGAGCACTGGCTGCGGAGGGCATCCAGGTCAGCACGGAGCGGTGAGGGAATTGCATAGGCATTGGGGCGTTCAATTTGGGTTAGATGGGGAAAAGGGATTGCATGAAACACGCTCTCGTAACGGGCTAGCCTCCGTAATTACCTATAGTATGATACCAACCAGTCTTTCAAACGACGATTAATAACATGTTTTTTACAATTAAGACGGTTCCATAAAAATATGCAATTCGACTTCGGTTTTTTTTTTATAGTCGGTGAAAGTAGGTAGGTACTTTAAGTAATTGACCGGTTTTACTTGCCCTGCTAAGATGTAGACCGAGAACTAGAATATGTAGAAGGGGCTTTCCCTCTGATGGCTACCTCTTATTAAAGTTTATACGCCTTCCCCCAAGCGGGTAAAGCAGTGATGGTAACCACGACGACATAACGAGGAACAGCAGGCGCAACCTTAAAAAGATACACCAGATGACTTCAAGTACCGATTGATGTCGCGTGAGCAAAAGATACCTCAGTCTTAGAATCGATCCAACTACATCTACAATCTTCCTATCACAGCATCTCATCATTCAGAAGTGCTCTGCTCTGCTCTAGCCCTCAGAAAGTCGGCGTAGATTTTACTTGCACCACCATCATCATCATCTTGATACTAATCATTGCAAAAGTATCAACACTAACACTAGCATATAACAAATAACATGGACAATACCAGTACCACCACTCCTAAACGTACCCTCTTCAAAAGACGCCACTTATCTACTAAATCTCGGATCCCCCTCTCCAATAGATCAAACCACAGTACCAAAGTCACTCCAGAACAGCGCCCCCTTGATCCCAAATGGGACCGCAAGGACTCCTCCGAGGGCATTCCCAGTTCCCAAACTTCAATCCACGATGCAACCTGGGTATCGGAATCAAGCGGCAGTACAAAATCTCCTCGTCAAGCCTCAACCCCGTCTTCAAGCGCGGCGTCTCCGGTAGTAGCTAGGCCCATCACTCCGCCGGCGCCGTGCCCCACGCCTATAGACCCCAACTCGGAGTCTCCGCTCTCGCAGATCGCGGCGTTCGAGACACCATTCCTGTACGGCCATGGCACCGAGCTTGCACCTATTGCCGAGCAGCGCAGCAGAACGACGTTGCGCAGTAATGGCGGTGGTGCTAGTACCGTGTCAACGTCAGATATCTCGTCTCTGCTAAAACACAAAGAATCCGGCGCGAGCACTCTCAGGAGTCGTAGAAGTCGTACTGAGTCGCCACCGAGGCGCCAACTACGCCGGCAGCCTTCGTTTAGTTTTAACGATCTGCCTCATCTACACACTACTCCTGCTACAACCAACACCAGTAGTGACGGCCAACCCGGCAGTAGCAAGAGCGGTGAAAATCCCGAACCTGCCGCTGTCAGTGCCGGTACCAGTAGCAGCAGTGAAAGCGGCGTTAGAATCCCCCGCCTCCGCAACACCAGCAAACGGCACTCGCCCCCAGTCGTCGAAACCGTCGACGTCCATGCATACCCGCAGAGACCCGGATACCCACCGCACAATATCCCAGGCCCAAAACACTATAGCGAGATACCCCTGACAGCAGAGGAGGAGCAGGAGTACGCGGCGATGGAGCTGTCGTTTGCCGACAGGACCGCCCATGGCAACTCAGGCGCGCGTCCGGTCCGGCGGCCGTCGCAGGCCCGCCCTAATTCCATACGCCCGACGCCCTGGGTCTGCAAGGCTTGCAGGCGACCGGCGGACCAGCACTGGAGCCTTGTCTCAACGGTAACTGGCCTTGGGCGAGGCCAACGGCGCGGGTCGGATTGGTGCTCGAGGTGTGCGTGGCGGAAGGTTGGGTATATTCTGTGCTGCTGCGAGTATCACTTGAACGTGTATCCGGGTACATTTAGATGAAGTGATGTAATACGCAGGTTTGTCTGTTTGTCTATATGTTTCCTCGAGGATCACGAGGCGTTGACGGAAGGAAAATAAGGAGTTACGGGGGTATTAGACCGGAGGTATTAGAACGGAACTTAGACGGCGTCTGCTCCAAGGCCCTTTTTTCTCTTTATTGTTTCCCCTTGAATAATCATTGTAGGGTTTTTGTAAGTTCATCGCATTCTCCTAAGAGAATAATGGCTAATCATTATCGCGTTTCGATTTCTGGCAGATTGCTCGTCGCATTGGGCTTCCCTGTCTATGTACCCTAACCTAAGTAAATCGAGCAACGGCCAGCGATACGGCCGCTCGTCCTATATAGCGAGAAGCTCGGTTTTCAGGGCCGAGATTCCCTGGACGTTATATACAGTTTGAGTGATGTATTATAACAAGACCCTCTGGGTTAATTATTGTAATATCTGCCACGGTCGAACGATGCCGTCGTCTCCGGTCGAAACTAACATCTCTTCGATTCCTCTTTTCTCGGGTGCGCATCCTTGATCGTAGCGCTTGCACCAGGTGATGTGGTTGACCTCGTATGCGCCGTGGGCGTTAGGGGTCGTCGATATTAGCTTCCATCTTCGGGATTCCTGGGGCTTGTTGTTTTCCGTATGGCCGTTCGTCATCTGGACATCTCCATCTAACTCAGCAGCTGCCTCATCATCCGCAGCGTGGAATTCATTCGTGGCTCCCTCCTCGTCTTCGCCGTAAACGGCAATAATCCCATCGCTACCTGTGCTCGCAACCATACCAGACTCAGGGCTCCATGACGCTGAGTATATATCTCGCGTATGCGCCGTAGGGAGCACAGCAGTACACTCCCACTCCTCCTTCAGCGCTCTTCGCATAGTATTCGGTATCCCTCCCAGACTCCCCCACGCATGCTGCGGCGTCTCCTCCTCGTCCTCTTCTTCCTTGAGCGTCCATATCCTCACCGTGCGATCAGCGCTCCACGTCATAATCCGCGGGAACTTCTCCCCCTTCGGCTTCGGTTCCCACTGCACACCCCAGACAGTTCCCTCGTGGCCCTCAAGCACCGCAACACACACCCACTCCTGCTCGGACTCCTCCCGCCATATCCGCACCGTGTTATCGTAACTCGCGCTGGCTAAGACATCGCTGCTATACCGCCCGCGTCCACTTCTATTGGTTTCCGGGCACCACGCTACGGCTTTGACATCGCCTTCGTGCTCGCTGAGAACGGCGACTGTTTCCCACTCGTCGTCTTCCTCGTTCGTGCCTACGTCCTCCCATATCCAGACGGATTTGTCCCGGCTACATGTCGCGAGGAACTGTCCCGTGGGCGAAAACGAGACAGATTTGACTTCTGAGTCCTGGCCGTCTAGGATAACAATCAAATCCCATTCTTTCTCCTTCTTATCATCATCACTATCCTCCTCTGTAACGTTGACTTCCAAGTCGCCCTTCGCCTCGTCGTTCCAGCGCCACAGTCCCGCTGTGGAATCGAAGCTCCCTGTTACCAAGCACAGTTTGTGAGGCGGCAGGTTCGGCTTCCAGGATGTGGAGCGAACGGAGCGGTCATGGCCGTTGGTTAGGGCGCTGTGGGCGGAGAGGGTTGAGAGTGAGAAGACGGTAACGGACTTCTGGTGCGCGGTGGCTAGGAGGGGGAGGGTTGGATGCGGTATCGATTGCCAGGCGCGCTGGTATAGGTCGGGTTTGAAGGGAGGCAGGGCCACCAGCAGATTGGCAGACTCTGGAGGCGCCATTTTTTGCTACTAATCGCGCCGGGGGTAGTAAATTTCAAACTTTAATGCCTACGGTCGCCTTTTCCGATTGACAATAATCTGATATCGGAGATTTTGTAGTAATGGGTATATGGAAGTGAACGGCGACGTGGATTCACGAAAATGCCGGACGATGTTTGAAAATTGGACGAATTATTATTATCGGTGCTAATCGAGTACATACATATCACAGCGGCATCGCAAAGACTGACGTATGCGGGGCAACGTGGGGTTAAAGTTTTGCACTTTCGGCGTGGTGGGGCTCTGAAAAAGTACGATTATAGGTACTTGTATTATAGGTGTGCTTATACGAAAACTAGGTACAGCTACGACTACATGAAGTTACACGTGAATTGTATAGTCTTTATTCAACTCTTGAACTAACAGTATTGTTAACGCTTACTTACAAATATAGGTTCTAATGAGTGGGAGTATTGTATGTTAATAACCATCCAATCTAAGCATTCACCAGTTCATTTAGTACATCTTATATATGAGCTGTTATTTTCAAGATTAGGTTATATATATTCTTTTATGTTTCATGTATTCTCCCAGGAACTATCTTATTTCAGTTGTAGGACATATCCAAAGTCGAGTCTAAGCTGTTGTTGGGAGGTGGCGTTTGATATGTTGGGATCCGGTAAGTTTTGACCTGCCCATATGACAGGTTCCTGAATATATGACCGCCTATTATTGTAAAAGTTTCTCCCTATTTTGGTGCTATATGGTGTATTTCTACAAAAGCAAAATCAAAGTATTCAAGCCTTGTTCTAAAGACGGCGCCGTTAGCTGGAGCTATTCGAACATAAGGAAATCAATAAGGGACTAGGCTAGTTATGAGGTCCCCTAATCCGATTAGTTTAGTGTAGAGTTAGCAAATGCAAGACAGACATAGTCTAGAATATTACTATCACAGGTATGGCTTGTTTAGTGATAGAAGTACTTTCTTTTTCTTCCATGTCCATAAACTCGGGGCGTAGTACGAACTTCCTACCCTTAAATACCACGGGTAACCGGCTGTTATGCTCCGTTCCCTCCCTTTCTAGGGAATGGAAACGGGGTAGCCTTCTGGTTAAATTAAACCGCCAAGGTAGATGATCGATAAGCCACTCGTTGCCGGTCTCCGTTTATAAGTAGTACAAATAGTACTGATCTGGGGCCTGACTTGAGCATATACTTCTGAGGACAGCTGTCCAGAGGATCATGGGATCAAGTTAGATGACGTTGATAAACCAAGAGCAGTTTTCGTCTATTGGCTCATGTTAAAGCTGAACAGCAGGGGGAAAATATGGCTTAATAGCGTCGACCGAATGTGATCGCCGGCATCTGCGGCGTACTCATCTTTTTGTTTTTTTCACGATGAACTAAAAAAAGGGACCAGTCAATGCGAAGTATTAACATGCGACGAGGGAAGTTATGGGAGCTAAGGCCAGCTGTATGGGATGAACCGTTGGAAAGTAGCAAATAAATAGAAGTAGGTAGCTACCTACCCATGGGATGAAGTATTGATTGAACGTTGAGGCTAAGTTACCGAACACCTGGTAGCGAAATATTAGAGGGATATCGTAGCACGACGTACGTAAGGGTTAGGGATAATGCAACGGAAGGAGCCTGCAGCCCCCAATCCTTTAAGATCTGCGTAAGTACCTAGGTTAGGGTGCTCGTCGTAGACCTCGCCTCGTAGACCATAATATACGTGGAACGTAGGGTATGAGTCGCGCTTTCTCGGGTATCATCTAGTTGACAGCCGGTAGGACTATATGCATGTTCTTGATTGATAGTCTTTTCATTGGTTCCCGGTCCTCTTCCGAATATTGGCAATCGGCGAACTTGGTAGAATAGCCTAGTTTGAGGCTGCTGCAACTTGAATTGCCAACTCTGGATATAAGATAAGAGCTTGCTTATAGAATATCTGGTAACTCTTCTTATATTGTGGAATTGTACCGTGTATGCCACTTAGGTCTTTTGTATCGGTATCCGTCCGGCGGAATCAATGCCTCTAGTCGTCTCATAGCTAGTCACTCCCATGACCCTCGATCCGGCTTACACGAAGAAAAACTCTCCACTATGTTGAAAGGCGAGGAACTGCTTCTGCAATATGAAGATGAAATTGACCCTCGATAGTTCCGGGGTGGCTTCGTGTTTCTAAGCTACCTTGTCTCTTGCATTGGAGCGGCTCTAACACTCGAGCTACTCAACCGTCGAACTTCCCGGAATGGCTTATCCAACCATCTCATACTTGTCAGTTCTGCAGTGGCTATGGGTGGGATATCAATATGGTGTATGGTAAGACTTCACGGCTCACTCTCAAAACATTTCTGGACGCCTAACTGGCCGTAGCATTTTGTCGGCAATCATGCGATAACACTAGACGAGGGCGAGCCTAAACTCTGTATCAATTATTCTAGCCGCTACTCCGCACTCTCCTTCTTCTTGCCAGTAATTGTGCTCTTGGTGGCTTTCGTAGCCATTGGCGCGAACTTCAAGGTTTCCGGGTGGCGAATATGCTGCGGAAGCGTGCTTGCTGGCGGTAGTATTTGCGGGATGCATTACTTGGGTAACGCTTCTATCACCAACTACGACTGCATATATGGCAAGGTGTTTATTGCGGGGGCAGCAGTCATCGCTGTGGTTGACAGTATCATGGCCCTATCACTGTTCTTCGTCTGTAGAGCGTCCTGGAAGAATTCGTGGCAGAAAAGAGTGCTATCTGCACATTTGTTGGCTGGTGCCGTGTCTGGAATGTACTGGGTTGCGGCTGTCGGTACAAATTATCGCTTGAAACATACGAATAGCAACCCTCAACTTTCTCAGAGTCAGGCCATCATAATCGTCATATGCCTGTTAATCCCCGCAGCCTTTTTCATGGCAGGATCCATCATTTACGCAACACGCGTCACGAGACGAAATGCGAGCAAGGCCCAACACATTGTCTTGGCGGCCGCGGTGTTCGATAAGTCGGGGAGGATATTAGTGAGCTCAGACGGCTTGCTACCTAGCGAGAAGATTACGGACGCTTATGTGGAGAAGACCCAAGGCGACACATTCGGTATTTCTCATCCTCTTTTCCATTGGATGTTCCAGGTCTCTCGAGATTGGAACAGCGTGGTCGGTATGGTTGGTGGCATGGCTAAACACCTGGCGCGTTTGCCTAAGGGTCCTCGCGATACCAAGATCCGCCTCGTTGACGACGAGGGCAAACTAATCGAGAATTATGACACCATATTTCGTGAACTATTCTGCGTCGCAGCCATGAATTTAGCAAACAAGTTAAAAGAGAAGCTCGTTGACGTCGGTATCTTATGGGATGAAATCCTAGCCACCGGGGTCGACGAGCTACCTCATAAACCCAACTACAGCATTGCGAACATGCTAGAAAAGGGCGGCTATAGCGCATATAGTAGGGCACATGGCCTTCGGGCCAGGCTACACCAGGAATATGGACATGGCTCGTTGATGTTCTTGGTCCGCCATCTCGAGCATTCTGATGAAGTGGATCGACTGGAGGCCACTGGCTTCCGGTTTGCAGAGCCTCATCAGGTGTGCGGGATTATTGGATCCCGCATGAAGATAAAGAGTAGGGACCTTAAGGGGAAGTTAAGAAGCATGGCGATATTAGCCGAAGGCAGCGCTGTGTTGGACCGTGGCGTACATATCGGCTTCTTCGGCATTAAGGCTCGCGTAGGAAGTTTTGGTTTCGACATCGTTGTGAAGAAGGGCGCTCGAAATTTGCTTCCTACTATGCCAGTGCCGCTTGAACGTCTGAAGTCATGGCAGATGGATGGTACGTATATCAAACACCTCTCTATGTCAATAGTCTTGAGTCAATTGTCGGCTCAGCTCTATTCGAAAGCTCGATGTCTAATGCATATTGTTTTGTCTCATTGCCCCCCCGTACACGCAATTTCACAACTGACTCTGATGTGCAGTTATTCGTCGGTTTGATAAAATGGATGTCCCTGTTCTGTTCCAAAGTCTCAACGCGCTGAAGAAGCTCTCTCCTCGAGAGGTATTGTTTGCTTCGCAGCTGTCTGACGCTCTCCAATCCCTTCGCGCTTGGGTAGATGATCCCGTTTTCAATGAAGCTGTATTGACTTCTAGGGTGGTCCAAGTCCCTTGCAGAGCTCGAGCTGGGTTAAGCTCGGAATCCTGCACAATGATTGCTCTGTGCATCATGATGCCGATTCACGCCAGCGCCAGTAACCCTATGTGCGAATTCATACCCTTGAATTTCTTTAAGATTCATCAGATGGCATATAAGAATTCACCTTATCTCGCCGCATTTACACGGTACGTGCATCGGGAACTATCCCCGACCGTAAATGCAGTGCCGATCAATAAGCCACTTGCGACATCCCAACAAGCCGGGCGAGCCATATTCTGGCGGAATCGCTTGGGTTCGTTGCGTCGTTTTATACGGTCGAAAACCAATGACTATGCCATGGTTGAAGATGACCGCTCAACACCGACGGGATTGATGCGAAGGTCTTTTAACTATGAATCAGATGTTTGCAGTTCTACGGTGAAGCGGTGCAGTCGGGATTTCCCTGATCGTCATAAGTCGTGGAATGATACGATATCTGACAAAGCGGTGGTGCAGCAATCCTCCTCTTTCGGAGGCATCATGGTGTCACAGGAGATCCAGGTAGATATAATACAGATCGACGATGTTCGTGGTAGCGGTGCGTTTGCTCCGTCGAAATCTCCTGTCAGCGCGGACAGCGTAACGGTGGTCAAAGCCGGAGCAGGCTCTGACTTTAGGACGTCTCTATCTAGAGTAAAAGAAGACATTCACGCCGTGGCCGGGCGCGAGAAAGTCAACAAAGCGATTACATTTGTTGACGAACTATTCGCTATTTGTGTTGATGGCTAACATTGTACTAACTAAATAAAAATTAATTATTCCGTACATGTACCTACTAAATATTTTAGTCCGACCCCAAGGTAGTCGGTACCATTACCCCGAAACCGCAATGACGATAAGAAAGAAGCTAGCAATTTGTTGGATTGGCTGGATTTGGTTGCATAACTTGGAAGGATGCTGCTAGGTACCTCGAATACATACGTCAGTCAAATATGACGAGACGTGCGCACGTGGGGAAAAGAAGCTGCCTCGTATGGATCACCCCTATTTAGTTATGCATATGTAATTACTGAGGAGTGAGGAGGAACAAACAATATAATTTCCAATTGAAATCATCCAAGTACGAGTTGAGGTCCGAGACAAAGGCCTTCTTTATGCAATAGAATCTACAAAGGTGATACCACATATCTATGATTCGTATATAATTGATGGAACATCTATTGCCGGCCCTAGGTATCTAAAGGAATCTTAGGAAACTCTCCCCTGTTTCTCCCCCGCTCAATCGAACCATCTCGATAGGCGCATAACCTTGCGCTAGCCTTCCAATGTTGTGCAACACAGTGAACATTTTTAGTGAGCATTTTACATTCATCAGACATTGTACCAAGCCCAACCGTGTTCCCGTTGCCGCATCCCTAATTATGGGACATGTGGGGTATGAAAATGCACCTTTATGGGAGAAAGTATGGGGCTTTACTCCTCACTTTTTCACTCCAGGAAGGGAGCTGCAGACCCAGTTCTCAGCCAACCCATCACAAGCTAATACCACGAACTAATCCGTAAAAGCAAGCCCTTTCCCATTGTATTTTCTCTCGGCGTAACTTTGTATCAGGTACGAATACAATGTTGATATCAACTTCTACACGTAGTTGTCTCCATTCTTCCCCATTCTTCTCCATTTACTTCCCCATCGAAAGGAGAAGTGCCTGACCGCGTGCTCACCCCCACGCTTGTACCAACACCATTGAACTTCGTCACTTCAGAGTGAGGGAAATTTCTCTAATTGTTCTTCTTTACAACATCTAGCCTAAGTAATTCGAGCCTCAAAGGCAATTTGACCTGACTTGGCGTCAATTTTGCCGCCAGCCGGTCGCCGATTAAGAGACCCATCTTCTGTCTCGCTTTATATTGTCCCTTGCATTACGCTCGAGCTGGGAGAAGTTGGCTTGTTTGCCTAGCTACTGTGTTCGAGTTTTACACTTGAACGCAGTTCCGTGTCTTCAACTAGACACGGTCAGTATTGCCAGAAGGGTCCTGCTGGCAGTGCAATTAAACGGGATACGCCTAACTCTTAATACCAGTCGAACTTTTTCATCATGTCCAGATTTGCCAGAGGTTTGAAGCGCATTGCGCTTCCCACCACAGTCGCAGCAGTCGGTGGTGGTGCGCTTCTGTACTCATATCGACCCCGGAATATTCCAGGCTTCGAAGGCCCTGCGGTCCCTCCTCCCATCTACGGCGCCGATGGCACATTTAAGCTCCCTCGGTTTCCGAAAGTGAAATCCCGTGAGGAGCAGATAGCCGACCTAAAGAAGAGCGCCGGAGAAGAGGAGGAGTATGATATGCTGGTTATTGGCTGCGGAGCCACCGGGGCAGGTGTTGCATTGGATGCTGTTACTAGAGGCCTCAAAGTAGCAGTTGTCGAGAGAGACGACTTCAGCAGTGGTACTAGTAGTAAAAGTACCAAGCTTGTGCATGGTGGTGTGAGATATCTGGAAAAAGCTGTATGGAATTTGGATTACAGTCAGTACCAATTAGTCAAGGAGGCCCTCAAGGAACGCAAGTATTTCTTGCAGACAGCTCCTCATCTGAGTTCGTGGCTACCTATTATGCTTCCTTTGGACAAGTGGTGGAAGGCACCATATTACTGGGCTGGTACCAAGTTCTACGATTTCCTTGCTGGTAGCGAAGGTATCGAGAGTTCTTACTTCTTGACCAGGAGTAAGGCTCTAGATGCGTTTCCCATGCTGAAGCAGACTGACCTTGTTGGTGCTTTGGTATACTACGACGGCGCTCATAACGACTCGAGAATGAACGTCTCTATTGCTATGACCGCAGCGGTATACGGAGCTACCGTGTTGAACCATGCTGAGGTGACTGGGCTGACGAAAAATGAGAACGGAAAGCTAAACGGTGCTCTGGTGAAGGACATGATCAATGAGCGTAATGGTAAGAAGTCTGATCCATTTACCGTCAAGGCTAAATGTATCGTCAACTGTACCGGCCCCTTTACCGACTCTATCCGGAAACTTGACGACCAGAATTGTGCAGAAATCGTTGCGCCCGCTTCGGGCGTCCACGTCATCTTACCTGGTTACTATAGTCCTTCAAACATGGGATTGATCGATCCATCAACGTCAGACGGCCGAGTTATCTTCTTCCTCCCGTGGCAAGGAAACACCATTGCCGGCACGACTGATGAGCCTACATCTATCTCTCCGAATCCCCTCCCCGACGAGAAGTCGATTCAGTGGATTTTAAACGAAGTGAGCCATTATCTTTCTCCGGATATCCATGTTCGCCGTGGTGATGTGCTTGCAGCTTGGGCTGGCATTCGTCCTCTAGTCAAAGACCCCAAGGCCCAGAACACGCAGTCGCTAGTACGCAACCACCTTGTTGACATCTCCAGCTCCGGCCTCGTGACATGTGCAGGCGGAAAGTGGACGACCTACCGACAAATGGCTGAGGATTGTGTGGATGCGGCAGTCAAGGAATTTAACCTTCCTACCAAGCCCTTCCCTAATGCTCCACGAGTAAGCGGCACCGAAGCTATAGACGACGGTGCAATTCTAGACGGATCATGCCAGACTCACAACGTCCGGTTAGTTGGTGCGCATGGTTTCAGTAAGACCCTGTTCATCAATTTGATTCAGCACTTTGGCATCGAGACCGAGGTTGCTAAGCACTTGACCGAGAGCTACGGTGACAGAGCGTGGACTGTTGCAGCCATGTGCAAGCCGACAGACCTCCGATTCCCCGCGAGAGGAGAGCGGATAGCTCGTCTTTACCCCTTTGTGGATGGCGAAATCAAATATGCCATCGCCAACGAGTATGCGCAGACTGCCGTTGACATCCTCGCACGAAGAACGAGATTGGCCTTCCTGAACGCCCAGGCTGCCCTTGAGTGCTTGCCCAAGATCATCGATATCATGAGCCAAGAACTGAAGTGGGACCGAAAGAGACAGGAGCAAGAATGGAAAGACAGTGAGTGACCTACGCAACTTATTTTACATCGAAAAATGCTAATTGATATCCCACTTTAGCCGTAGAATTTTTGCGGTCAATGGGCCTGCCCGAGCCGATGCTCACCGTAACAAGGGCCCAGGTTGAGAAGGGCAAGCTCGACTTCCGCTCCTCGCTTGAGTACAAGATGTACTCGAGACACAACAAGCCCCCCGTTGTAGAAGAGTAATTAAGACGGATAAGAGCGAAAGAAAAGGAGACTTACATGGACACCTAAAAGAGATGGGAAATGGGTTTATATAAAAGAATCCGTAATTCGAGATAATAGACGGCTGGATGGAGCAATTCTGGCGTGTGTTTTGTTTTTCCCTTGGGTTAAGGAGGAGCATTTCGTCATGTGTTCAAAAGCGTCGCTGCCGAAGGCGATGTAATCTCTATCGACATGTAGCTGTAATGGATTTGATAGTCGATAGCAAATAGAAAAGACTATGAACCGCGATTTTTTACTTGGGGTATTAACTATTCTGCTATATGACATGTTGACTGTTAACGGTTTAGCCTCTTGATTAATCAATCAGGTTGGTCATTGGGTGGAAGGCCATCTCGTTAGATCTGTTGACAAGAACTCATCAAGCATACTGCAATCTAATACGTTAGATCAGAAGGACTAGCTTCAATTGACGGTTTTGAATGGTCAATCCCTTTAGACGACAACCCTTCATTAGATGAACATTAAGTCAAAGCTTAGAAGATGAGACGTAATCGAAACACATGAGTCTAGAACCGCAAGCGCATAGTTGCATGAAGTCATTCAAGTCATGCGTAGCAGTGACATAGCGCAATATCACATAATAACAATTCGCAGCCGGTTTCATATACATGGACTTTCATACTATATTCATATTCATTCGGCTCCTCTACTAGTAACAACCCGAGGATTACGATATATCGACATGAAGATATATCAGCACACAAACTCTCTCGTTTGTCTCTGCTTGTCTTGTCTTGCCCAATAATTCCCCGCTCTATACAATGCAGGTCAGGTGTTGTGTAAAGTTAGAGCCAATGTCATTTGTAGACGACGATGCTTGCTTGCTTGCCTTCAACCAATCCCAAAAGGAAAAATAATAACGTTGAGCGGAAATTCGTTACATCTAGCAAAAGTCGTGATATTAATTAAACCCTCCCCATTTGAACGCCTCGCCAAATCCTGTTAATTTCCCATTCTATGCCATATTTGACCCGATTTATTTTGATGCTTGCCGCCGTAGGACCCAGTTGCCTGGCCGTCCGGATGATAACGCCGAAAATGATAAAACCAGATGCATTTCAAACCGCCAATGATGAACATGGTAAGAAAATTTTGTAAATCGCCCTGCTCGAAACGACAAAGTAGATCAACTCATTAATCCGTCTCACGTGATTCAATAACACCAACTTAGTGGTATAACGTAGTTCTAAAAACCGGAATTGACTCTCCTTCCGGATACAGAAAAGACACGCTGGAAGAGGTTTCGCATACCGCCATCAGAATTCCGATATTGATTATGATGACGATAAGGACACACAGAATCCGTGCTAACTCTGCACTTCATCTTGCGCTCAAGTTCTGCTTCCCAGCCGTACGTGTCGTCAACAGTGCTGGCTCGCGTATAGGCGTCAGAGTCGACAACGGTGAGTGCCGAGCCGTCCTCCCCTTGCGATATGCCTAGACAATTTGAGAAGTCGCTGAGGGAGGTCTGGCCGATAGTGACTTCGGCTCGGTCGGTTTCCGAATCACTAACCATCGTTCCAGTCTCAGCACTGACCTCCGTCTCGGTATCCGTTTCATAATTAAAGCTATGAAAGGATTCGGGGGAACGTAGAAGGTGAAGTGGTCGTTTCACAAACCCGCGCGGCTGAGGCATAATTACTGGTCCGCCTTTCGCCTCTGGCTCTTCAACGACCCTCGCAGGAATCTTCAACGGTTTGGGCTTGGTGCTGCGTTGACGGCACCGAACGTTGCGCCCAACCGTACATGACCCATCATTTTGATATGCGCTACGCGCTTTCACGGCCACGCCACCCGTGACATCTCCACTGACGGTCTGCGGATAAGTGTATAATCCAGCAGACATCCCGAGTGGAATCTCCAATTTCTCGCCGGGGTGAGGATCCTCCCACAGCGTATTCATACTGGCACTCTCTCGTAGAGTAGGTATCGAGCTGTTACTACTCACAGCGATGGAGAGATCAGGTGATGGCGCGGCCTGTAACCCTCATAATGGGGGCTGGTTGGCTGATGTTGAGTCTGTGCGACGGACGGACTTGCTCTTCCTTGTCAATCCTAACTTTGCACCCATCTTCTTCCAACTATTTCCCGAAATAGCTTTTTGTAGAGTATTAGGTGAAGTGTTAAATGTAAGATCTGAGGTGGGTGGTGTTGTAGGTGGTGTCATTGGCTCAGTTGCAGGAGTCGAATTTGGACTGCTATCATCAGTCACCAAATCAAACACTGTTTCTACCGAGGCAGAGGTAGACCGATTACCAACTCCACCACGTCCCATGATAAAATGCGGGAGATAGGATGACCTAGGTGACTGGCTTGCTTCGTCGTCATGCCCGATGTCCCTTGGTATTCGAAGGCGCGAACGCCCTTGTCTATATTCCTGAGACTCTTCCTCGACCCGCGATTCAACCGCAGCTGATACGACAGACTCAAGAAAGGGCACAAGAACAGAATCGTTAATTAGTTCCCGTACAATCTGAACTGCTTCGTCGAGTTCAGAGGGATTGGGCGGGTTCGCCTTACAGCAGGGAAGCTGGAGAAGACGGTCGCGGACATCCGCTGGAAGGTTGACTTCCCGAGGCGCACATGGCATTATGTATGCATCGATGACTTTCCGCCATAGCGAGCATATTGTTGCCGGTCCATTAGGTGCTTGACCCTGCGCGATCTGATGATACATAATCATGTACCGTTCAGCATCCATTATAAACTCGAGAGTTTCTAGGCAGTGGTTTTGGGATAAGAAGGCCATGAAAGAACTTAGTGTCCATGGTGGTGGTGCTGTATTAGAGAGAATCTCTGACAACGTTGGTGGGTTAGTGAAGGGCGAACCCGTGCGTGGTATGGCCAGGCTCGTAGGGCGTGATGTTTCCATTGCAGTTTCTTGGTCCCAATCCTCGAAGACTGACGGCGGTCGTGATAACTCCGTTTGAGATTGGTTCAAGTAGACTGGCGAGCTTCCTCGTAATCTAGGTTTTCCCATTATTCCTTTGAAGCTGGCAAAAGGAACAACAAGTATCGGGTAATCCGCCTGGTCGTGTAACCCTGAGCAAACAGAAGCTCTTGCAGCGAATTTAACCCAAAACGAGCTCTGACGCCATGCAAATTGGCAAGCTTCCTGTCTGACAAGATTGTTTCGTAACGAGATTATGGAAAACGTACGAAATACTTGCTCTAGCTTATCTTCAAGCGGCCTTCATTATCTGCAGGCAGCCCGTGTATTCCTAAAGATCAATTCTTTCTAACCAATCAGTAGGCTCCCGTTCAGGCACTACACGGATAACAGCAGATATCGAGCAACTTTCAAGATACCCAGAGTCAAGTCGGCTAACCAGAATGCCGTCTTATTCTAGCCAATACAAATTGGCGAATCAGGCAACGGATAACGTAATAAGAAGCCGGTAATAATTCAAGTGGGGAGAACGTTGTTTTCCGACACAATCTCAGGCGATGTCTAACAAGCAGGTTAGATCTCACTAGACCTAAGTTGAAAAACCACGTTTGAATATGAAAGGCTCAGCAGTCTGAGACGGTTGAGATAAAAAATGCGGTAATCTCTACTCCTATTAGAGAGTTCCGATTCCACGGCGACAAATTAATACAGTCGTAAAGTAAAGCAATGGACTATTGCGTATTTAAGGTTAGCAAATCCTGATGGGCATGGCGAATGGAATGCCTCCTCTATGCTCAAGTCGGTACTCTTAGACAAGGGCGAATTCGTAGATCTGGTGAGGTCGACAAGTCCCCGAGTTTCTAGCGATTTTCTAGAGCAAGATGGTGCAACAAAATCCAACAAGCAACAGTCGTTTGGTTTTACAGCGGACTAGTACGGCAGGCCGTGTGGAATGAAGGACGAGCTGGAAGACCGCAGATGATTCGCAACGAAGGACCAAAACACAACAGTTAGATCCACCGGGCGTAACAGCGACAGCAAAATAATAAGTCGTTGAAAGAAAGGCGTTGATGGGGTTGGTATAGTTAAAACTAAAGGCGCCGAGCCGGTGTCGATGGGAATTAGTCGTATAAATATAATAGTATTAGCAATTGAGGCTGTTTTCTATTCCTATAGTATTCTCCTATAGGCGATGCCGATGCGAATGAGAAGGATTAATAAAGTCGAGGCGAATTTTCGATGATGGTGCAAGAGTTGCAAAAGTTGCAAAAATGCCAAGGGTGAATGAAAGCTTTCGGATAGAGGATCTTCAATGGTTGATGAAGGGTAGACTGGGAAGATAGTAGACAAAATAGGATAGAACACTTAGAAACTGGAAACAGAAGGCGGGTGGGAGACAGAAGGAAGATTAAAGGGAAAAAGGGAGACAAGTACTGGTACCCACCCTTGGGGGTGATCAAGGTACCTGATGTATGGCGAATGACTGGGATCTTGATGGGTGCCCCTTTTAACCTTATGGTGGAACTCTTGACTAAGAAAATCTTCTACAGGTACACTGTACAGTACTATAGGTACATAGACTAGGTACCTTAGTACCCATCTTAACCTTTTAACCTATTGCAACGGTTTTCATTTATCTAGAAACACCGCGATTCTTCATGATTGTCATGATTATCACGATCTATAGGTGGACGGCATTCTACGGTATTCTTCTAGAATATGACACAAAAGCATTGACGATCGCGCTGACCCTGCTACGTAGTATCCCCAAAACCGGAAGACGGGGGGGTCTGGACAAGGCAGGATAGGTGGAAGAGAAGCAAATCGGGCTGGGCGAAGCCCTCCAAGGGTTCGGCCAACGTTCAATTACCTCCTCGTTCACTGCTCTTACGTACATATACCTGACTTATCTATGATATCTACATACGTGCGCACCTATGAGACCCTACGAGACCAACGAGACCAATAATAAGGCTACGGCGCATATAGTATTCTCTACTAGTTCTAGCGCCGCTTTGTTGTAATGCTGAACAATAATAAGGTTAGGTTTCGAAGCCTTACCTGTCTGCCTGACTGCTATTGTATCGCCGTCATCTTTCACCATCAAGAACGACAGAGCGTCCACTACCGCCCCGGTCGCTTCAGCCAGGTGAGGTAACATACGTACTGTGCTACGTATCGAAAAGGTGGCGCGACGCTAGAATGGCGCTAGAAGAAGGAGAATCAAGCAAAAATGTCCAATCACATGAGCTTGTTCCAATCGCGTAAGAGGGGTCTTGTACCCATGCGGAATAGTCCGTTGACGCCCCTGTCTTCTTTAGCCGTACAGTATAAAAGCGGCGAGGAATGATGGAAGAATGCTAGAAGCACCTGATGATACGAACAAAGCCAATCAGCGACTACACCTAATTATTCATGGTGGGGTATCAGCCAGTAGTAGTACATGCTGCAACCAATGCCATTCTAGAAGCGAACGCAAAGCCAGTGCAATTATGGCAATAGCACCAGCCCGGTCGCCACTTCGAAGCGCTGATGACCAACGAAGCTAGTGTAATACTGTATACCTACCCTACCTAAGGTGTAATAGAGTTAAAGTTGAGACGCCATTTAGTCTCTTCTACAATGAACAAAAGAGGATGACGATGGCATCATCTCAGTGAATCACCAAAACTTGGCTCTTTTTTCCGTCTGTTCTCAATCTGGCACTCCTATGTATCCTTAATTTCCTCATGCCGACTTAGTCGACAGATCCCTTAAGGTCTGTCTCAACCCTTCGTTGAATAGCCCCCTTTAGCATTATCGTACTGCAGATATTATGTATGACTTGCAGATGCGCAATGTCGCACAAAGAAACATACTCTCCCATCACTCGACTATCACGGCAGGAAGACACCTGCAACAGTCGATGTCGTCGAACGGTTTCGAATCAACCATATGCATGAACTTTTCACGGGTATCTACTGGTATCCCAGGTCCTGCAAGAGATGCTACTGTACATACATATCTCCTCATACACACATATACAAGGTATACATACAATACATACATACCTTAGACCGTACCGCTCTTATTCATCCATATCAGCAATCTCATGTTGCCCCTCCCAGCAACCTCTCGCGCTACATACAGCATCTCGTGATTGTCGCGCAATGTGACTGGCTCGGCCGATATTATCCTAGATAATTACAGTATCATCGCCCCCCAAAATCGTAATTGGACGCACGCGACCGTTGGGGCCAAGCTTCCTCGGCAGACACTATTTATATTATGTTGCCAGACATGGAGTAGCAGTCCAAGAATCACCGCTTGATAGGAAACGTCCAGTTTGCTGATCGATCAATTACTATCATGAGGGAGAGCTATCTGCCTATCTCCATCGAGTCTTGATAGGGATATTAGATCACTAATAGACGCGCAAGCCGCGTAAGTACAGGGCAGTTCTCATAGGGTGTAGATCTCTCCCTCTCTTCTTTTTACCTCTCTGCCAGTTGGAAGAAGAAGTGTCGGCAGATGGTGAGCATATGCGGTAGCATTGGTGTCTCGCTCTTGTCCGCCAACCAAGTTCGAAACGCAATATAGACGCGGGAATGGGAGAAGATACCAGTTTGCATCATTGGACAGCTCGAACCCGTTGTTGGAAGCGCGAGGGGGGGTATGAATCAGGTCAAGATCAGCCATGCAGGACACAGGCATACCCAGCACATGTCCGTTCTCGAAACAGCCTCACCTCCGCCGATAAAGGCAAGGAACAGAAATCTTAAACAGACACAAGGTGTGGGATCGGCTGCTTACGCTGCCATTTCCAGCGAGGCTAATAGCCTGCCAGTTGGGCGTGACATCACGGTTATGATCGTCAGCAATGCTGTATTCGGCTGCAATACCGGAGCTTGATGACTCCAGCAGAGAGGGGGCAGCCTTGCCAGAGCGAAATCGTGAGTACCATGTGGGTGGCATCAAGACTTATTCGCCTACATACTACATCATGCATACCTACATATACCTGCATACATATACTATACCTTCACACGCTGAGGTTAGAAAATCATCATTTACAAAGACAGGCTGAGGGCTGAGTTCAAAGTCCCATAACCCCCATCTGAGTAAGTAAACTATTTGCTCGCTCTCTGCCCACCTACGTATTCACGATTCACCGCAAGTTCTCCCTTCATAAAAAAGGGTAGAAGCCCATAAAAAAAACCGGGAAAATATTGTTGCCCCTTCGAGGACAAGCGTATGCGCGGGAACGCAATAACATGCGACTACAGTACCTATGCCGACCGGAACCGCCATTCAAGGGGCTCGGCCATGCGAAGAGACCAAATTATGACCCCACAAAGGATGCCACCTCATCAGATCTACACAGTGAGTTGTAGGAAGAACTGTCGGGAAGAGAATCGCTACGTCTCTCAAAATAATACTTGATCGGGAAAAGAGTTGGGCAATAGCTCCGAGCTAAGATTTTAACCTCCGAGGTGTCCGTGGAAGAAGAATAGGGTATTTACAACTAAAGTACATGGATTAGGGGTAAGAATGGTAAGAATACTCCGCAATTTGTCGGTTTGGTACAAGTACATGGATTTATTCATGGATGTACTTTGGGTAGGCATTACGTAGCGCCGATTGGAGACCCACTTGGGCAGGGAAGACCTATGGAGAAATCAAAGTTATTCGTCGCGCAATAAAGCTTCTTTCTGGAAGCATTCTAGATCACTTCCGTCTAAGGCTTAGCTGACCGGTTCTTTTAGTGCAGAGCCCGGCGGTCATCCCGGTCCCGACGAGTGCGATTGCAATCCAATGGGCATTTTCCGTTTGTCCAATCCATTGGGTCGATCCACGAGTCTCAACTCCTTCTTTGGTAATTGGTAACTCTTCAACAACATTTGAACCTACGCGATATATAGGTACAGGCGGTAAGTAGGTACTATGCAAATACCTCGTGACGAAGACGTTGTGCGTGTCTACCGCGTACCTGCTGTCATCTT